GCAAAGCGGAGCTCTAGCGCACGATCTGCTAAAAGTCTCTGTTTCGGCCACGGACTTTCAAGTTTACAACGCGCAAAGCCAACTATTGATAGTAGTATTCATTGCATTATCGATAGTACTATCGATAGTCAACTATCGATGCTACTATTTATTGCATTATCGATAGTACTATGCATAGTCAACTATCGATAGTAGTATCGACAGTCAACTGTCGATAATATTGTGCTTAGCCGACTATTGGTACTATCAATAGTACTCTGATAGTCCAATATCAGTGGTTTTCGAAACTATTGATAGCTTTAGAAAAACTAGAGATGTTATCGATGGTAAATTTTTGTTAGATTTGCACCACTAATCTATTGCTGTTTCCTTTGGGACTAGTAAGTGCAACTTTCTTCAAAGTTTTGAGTCCTTTAAGCCGTGGTTTTGAAGAAACTTAAAAAAAAAAAAGCGTCGCGGAGGAACAAAGACAGTTAGTAAACTATGAGACTTTATAACTTTATCGCAAATGTTAAAGAGTGGTCCGGAATGTTTATTCCTTTCTCAAGCACGGGACGAATCTACTTTCCTTCGCTGGTTTGTCTTCATATTGAGAGAAAAATGGCTATTTAGACGTGTATCTGTTGACCTGATGGTTTGTACACGTATGGGTGCCGAGTTCTTGCGTCTGCATATCTGTAGTGAGGCAGACCCGCAGACGGTGTTTCCGAACGTATACCTTGGCCGTACGGCTTGGTATAGATATGCATGACAACACTGCACGAGGCAAAGCTAAGTTATCGACACGATTCGCTATGCGTAGGATGCTAACAATCAAATGTCATGTCTGCCCAGTCAACATACACATACTGAAAGTGTTGGGGGATCGGTGACCGAGTGGACTTAGGCACACCAGCTCGGAGCACGTGGAGCGAAAGCTTGCGCAACAAAACCCTGGGTTCAATCCCAGCCCCTGCCCGTTTTGATCTGGACGAGCATCGTACCGGCGAGCGGTCGCGTATCACTACCGCGTGGTGCATGTTAAAGACCCCAGGCCAGCGGTTGTACTACACTGGCTAAATTCAAATTGCTCATATACAGCTGAGAGATAAGTCGCCCGTTGAGACAGGCTAAGCTGAGGCTGTTCACAAACCAATTTACTTTTACTGGAAGTGTTTTAAAGGGTGAAAGTACCCTCTTGACAATTCAGTCAAACATGCTCGCGTGTGACATCCCTCATATGAGGGAAGCCATAATGGAAAGTCAAATGGAGGAAGCGATATGGGGTAAGTCGAATGGAGAAGTCATGTGAGGAAAGGCAAAGGGGAAGTCACAGAAAGAAATTATGTGAGGAAGTTATTTGGGAGAGGTCATATGGGGAAGTATCATGGGGAATTGGGGCAAGTCATATGTGATCTAATTTTCTCATAAAAGGCAAGAGTGTGAGAATAGGTGTGCATGTGTATGTGCGTAACACCAGTGTTTCTTTTGCGCTGAATACGAAACAAGCCCCTTAAAGTCTAGTGGCAAATGACGAAGATATGATTACTGAAACGACACTGGCCTTGCCTTGTCACACTTGAAATTCGGCTTAGCCTATGACGTCATCACTTTTCGGACATCCAGAAAGACGTCATCGAAAGGCGCGTAGTGGACAACAATCGTATACGTGAATCCAACGGAAACTGCTTAGCTCCGGTTCCCTGAAATCCGCCATAACAAAGCGCCACATACGCGTCGCATAACATTTTTATCTCTGACTCGCAGACCGGGGACGTATCGTTTGCGATCTTCTTTATTCCTCCGAGGTTACGCACCTACCCTATAAAATACACGCACAAGACACGCGCTCCATTATGCGTGTGTTGCTGTCTTTCACACCTGGCTTCCTATCTACTTCCTGTCAGCGTCCTTTTTTTTCTACGCCCCTCCGCTACTCCACAGTCTCAGCTTTCTCTCTTCCTCATTCCGAACGTACACAGAGGCGACGAAACGTATAAAACCGCGGGTGCTTATGCTTCCCTACAGCTTGTTTCACTGTGATTCGCTTGAATACGGACCTTCACAAATCTGACGGCGTGGAGTTGTGTTCGCGAACAACAAGGTGATACGAGGATTCATTGAGCGGTAAGCTTCGATGTCCTGTCCCACCTGGCAGTAGAAATGAAATTAAGCTTTACGATATCTGTCACCAAATGAAGTCTCGCTTTCACACAGCTGCCTCTTATCTGAGGGGAAATTTACTTGGAATCTCTCTTTACATTCGGTTTTGAGTTATTTAAAGGGGCACTGAAGTTGATTTTGAAATTGTTATTTTTTTTGCGAAAACTTAGTCTAGACGCTCTAAGCATCCCAACGAGCCCGAAATTACAATCGTGCGTAGCTTATTTTCTTGTTAAAAGCGTGTTCAAAGATCGCGACACGCCCTTTTTGGGAAGAATTTTCTTCCCAGTGAAGTGGTCGACGAAGGGCGCGTGTCGGCGAGTTGCAAGCGATGGCTTCGCCCGCAGAGAAAAAAAGCAGTCTTGTCCGAACATGTACCTATCAGACTCCCTTCAAAACAAGTTATAATAAAATCATTCGGAATCTGTGCGTATTATAGGGCTTTCATTGGCCCACACAATGCAGTCCGTGAGAAAAAAAGAGTCCACATGTTGTTCTATTGCTTTGAAATGAATAGGCAGTTTTGTAATATAGGACTTGGCATATGTGGGAACTAACACATTTTAAACAATGTAAGATCAAAAAGGACCTTTTTCAAAAATGACTTCAGTACCCCTTTAAGGCGTGTGCAAATGATAGTTTTAATCGAATAGCGCTGAGTCATTCGCAAGCTTCGCAGTGTCAAATATAGCGACCGCTGTCTTTACAGTGTGGAAGCTAGGGATGACGCCGCGCACTTCGATTTTAACCGCTATTCACACACAACCAAATTGTTCCAATCTCAGACTAAAAACAAAGGCAGTCCAAACCCATTTAACACAACGCATTGGAATGGGTAGTTTCAGGGGTTTCCCCAGGAATCGATGTTAGGGGGGGGGGTCTAAATTTTTAAGGGAGGGGGTTAGGGGGAAAGGGGGGCTTTGAGAACAGAGGAGTCGCTTCGAATTAAGGGGGTGCCTTCAGAAAAACAAGGGGAGGGGAGGTGTACACTACCCTAGGGGGTGGGTATAGGTAAATCACTGGGTTGTGTCTTGCCAAACTAACACCCATATCCTTCTAGATTCGCCACATGTGTGAATTCATTGTTCATCTTGTTTGTTTACTAAATATAAAACATTTTACTAGCGGCAGTTATTCGAAAATCTCGCGGGAAAATGTGTTATAAAAAGGAGCGAGCCGCTGTATCAATCCTGACCTCAGAAACACATTGTTTCGTACTAACTGAATAGTGCATTTCTACCGCGAACCCGCGTGTCCCAATAACTATAAACAATAGGACTGCTCTTAATCGGGAGCAGAAGAGGTTCTTGAAGGGAAAAACGAGCTAGAGATTATTTATAGCGTATTTGGGTCTTGTGAATTTGATTATCACAAGTCTTTAACCCGAACTTATGAATAGATGCGAGGAAAACCGAAAAAAACTACCCACTGAGTGTGACGTCATACCCAGAGGTTTCAATCCGTCTTACGTGTGCCATTTGTGAGGATATGCGTGCAGCATTTGTGACTGCACGGTTAAGGCTTGTGGAAGGCGCGGAAGTGTGTAGTTCTCTGTATAATACGGCACGATTCCCTTTCCCTACAGAACGCGCGGGGGAAGGAGGGCTTCAGCGCTATTTTGAATGCGCTGTTTTGGCTGCATGCTGTATCGCTCTGAAATATTATTTTGATATTCGTGATGACGGAGGCCAAATGAAAACGATTCAAGTGTTTTAAACGCAGAACCGCTTCAGTTTTCTTTTAAGCGAAAGGAGCTACTGAAGTGTTGTTCCGACGTTGCCAATTCATCGGAAGCCAACGATTTCTATTCCCTCAACATTAGACCGCAGGGTTGATTTTGTATGATTCAGAGATCATCATAGCGCATATTTTCAAGCTTACGCAGGTGATGCTACTTGTAAGATAAAAAAATAATTTTGCTGTCCCTTGGGATTCAAGAAGTGTTTCTTTGGTGAGGAGAACGGTTGCCGTTTGGAGCGTTTCCATGAGCGTGACGTCAAAAGCCCATAACTTAAGAAGTTTGCCCAAGTCCCAAAGGGGCTCCCATTTGAAATGCTCAAAAGGGGACCCCAAAAAATACCTAGCTGACAAGTTTGCTCAGACCACACATAACATGTTTATTTCTGGCTGTACTTGACCCAAAGTGTAGCGCTTTCGTGCAGCCAGAAAGCTGCTTCTTCCGGTTTAAAGATGCTTAAAATAGAATTCTATCATGGGTATATGCGGAAAGAAAAAAACGTTCTCTCTGTCGCAATGTTGAGCCTGATATTTCGCTAAATCGGTCCCCATGACAAACATTGACTGGTGTTGGCCGCGCATCGTATTGGGCCTAAACTTTAAATAGACGAATTTGCAAAATAACATCCTTGTCTCAGTAGCTCGTATACAATGTTGTAAGGAAGCATCCGAGCGAATACCCTGAGTATGCCCTCGTACACTGACGACGCTGTAAGCGCGAAGAAGCAAACGTCGTCTTTTCTGTTTTTTTTTTTCTTCTTCCTCAAAGGGGTGTCATTACATAAGAACTACTGCTGTGATAAATGTGTTCACTTGGGGAAGTAACCTACAGAGCAAAGGTTTGGTATCCATCAATATTCTTTGCAAGAAAAATGCGGAAAAGATGGCAATGTCGCCGCACAGTGTACACGATGTCTGCAAACCATTGCAGACATCGTGTCCGAAATGTGGCGGACATATGCAACGAACCTCCGAAATGTGGCAGCCACCTGCAACGAAGTCTGTTTGAATGCCATTAGGATCGAGGAAGGTGTTATAATCCAAGCGTTTCTATAGTCGACGTAAAACAGAAGAAGTACCGAACTTCTCGCAGTGGTTGTACAAGGCCCGCCAAGGTAGCCATGGAGATTCCAACGACCAAGGAACTGCTAGATCGTTTCACCTACTACGACTACTCCGTGTTCATCAGCATGCTGGCCATGTCCGGGGCCATCGGCCTCTTCTGCGCTTTCCACGGTGGTGCCCAGAACACCATTCGACAGCTGCTCATGGGCAACAAGCAGTTGACTCCAGTCCCCGTTGGCACGTCCCTCATGGCCAGCTTTATTTCTGCCGCCTACCTCCTGGGGAACGCTTCTGAGGTCTACCGCAACGGGACCTTGTACGCCATGACCTTCCTGTCGTACCTGCTCGCACTGGCTGTTACCGCGCACTTGTTCATGCCCATCTTTTACCAGTTAGACATCATGACCGCTTACGAGGTGAGCGTTTTTCACATATCCGCTAACATGACTTTTCCTGGTATTCGAATGAGCACTTCATGAGTTCCGATACCGTTTGCGTCACAAGCGTATTCAATTGCTTTTGTAGTCAACTGACATTTTAAGAAATGCAAGTGTGGCGAGCCCCGAGTGTTTTATTATCACTTCGGAGCCAGTAACATTGCTTCATTAGCCAAAAAAAAAAAAAAACGCCGAAGAGTTATTACAGCCGCAGTGTTACATTATAGCTATATCACCAGCTCGCCTGCACACTGACGTTTTTTTTATAATCACGAAGGAAGAAAGCCGCCTCGGTGGCTCCGAGGCGAGAGCGCTGGCCTACGAATACCCATCTGGCGGGTTCGAATCCCGGCTGAGGTGCCCGAAATCTGACGGAGGCTTATTGCGGAGGAGGCGCCGTGTAACCGAGCTTTGGGTTGCACGTCAAAAGATCCCCAGGTGGTCCAAATTAATCCTCAGTCCTCCGCTAGGGCGTGCTAGATGCCCGTCGTTGGTTTACCAAGTAAAACCTCCAAATTTGACGTTAACGAACCAAGAAGCCTGAACATAACTAAGTCACACACTGTGCCTTTTAACATCTCAGTGACAATTAAACCAACACACTGTTTACCAACAAGCCCGCTCGGCCCACACCAAGTGTTGCCAGTGCGCGTGTGCAGGAACCAAATTCTGGAGGAGTGAAGCGTATATGTGCATGCGCAGTGCCTACAACAGCGCCACCAGAGTGGCGTGACGTCACAGAGTTGAGTTGGTCTACAGACCGTTTGCGTGCGACGATTGGCACTTCGAAATGTGACCTAGTTGGGTTGGGCAAAAAACAATAAAGGAAAACGTTTAAGCAGGACTACAATAAAAACAAATAGAGACAGGGAAATCGAAGGACAACAGGCACAAACCCCTTGATTTCTAGCGCCTTCCGATCGGCGGATAAAGTGATTCGCCATATTGCCCCAAATCAGCTACGTCGAAATTCAACATGGCGGCCGTCACGAGCAAAACACTGTCTCTACGGCGTGCAAGCTCGTCTGCTCTCTGCGGCGAAGCTCGTGCGTTTGTTTACCCGACAGATGCGTCCACGTGTCCGTGTTCCTCCCTATCTCGGCCAATGACTGTGCGCGCTTGGTTGCCTCGTTATCCCGCGTTAACTGCGCGTTCTCTATCGGTGAATTCGCGCGGTGCATTCAGAGCGCTCTAGAGCGCTCTTTCGAGAGCGCGCCAGATCCGTTGGTGGAAGAATAACGCGGCGACGTGATCACCTGGTTCATTCTGGTGGCATCCCTCCCACCGAGAACGCTTCTTCCACCACTCGACCTGGCGCGCTCCCGAAAGAGAACTCTAGTGCGCGCCGAAAGTACCTCGCGAGTTGACCAGGGCCCCTTTGATTGGAGTGCTACTCCTTCGTTTCGATGCGCCAACGACGCGTTTTTGGAGCACTTGCTCGCCGTAAAGAAGCAAACTCAATCGCTTTTATATTGTGAGTCTTACATTAAAGTTAAAATAAAATTTCAGCATTCAAACTGAACAGCCAGACACTGCGCGCGAAGATGTATAAGAGAGTACACTCCCCAGAAGAAACATGCGTATTTAGCGTTCGCGTCTTTATTTATGTAAGAATTAATGCGGACTCACTTCGTATCTCCCCTAGACGATTAGAGGGGCTACAATTAAAATATGTATATTGAAGAGTTTAGTGCGGAAGCGGCTAATACCATGGAAAATTGCGACCCCTTTAAAGTTCACGCAAGTTACATATTGATATAACACTCCACCGGGTGATACAAAAGACAAAACGCATGATTTGGCACAAACTAAGAATATCGGAAAACAAATAAGGACAAGATCATCATGTCCTATAGACTCCCTTGTGCTGTAATATTTTGTTTGCGGGTGCTAACAAAATAATACAGCGAAAAAAAGACAGGGACGAGAGACAAGAACATATCCTTACTTTCTTGTCCTCAACTTTTTTGCGCTATATTTTTTGTACCTAAATATGCACTCACTAGCCCAGCATCCTACTTCACTAGACAGAGCGCATCTTGATGTCGTATAGGTGATGTGTAAAGTACTCCAACCGTCTCTTGTTCGTATAAACTCTTCGGTATAAGGCGAACCTCTGCTGTCTATTTGCTAGATTTCATTGCACGCTTGAACAACAACCCGAGCTAGTTATCAACAAAACCTATCATAATATCGAAACACGGTTTTACATCCTAGGTTCCAACATAAACAAGCCCTTCTATCTTCAACATAAGAAGACATCCCGTTCAACCGCTACATAAAAATAATAAAAAAGAAATAATAGGAACAAAAATAAAAAAAAAGGCGTCAGAAAGATATACACAGGCGTGCATTATTTATTAGCGTTCGGTGAAACCGTCACATCTGGGTCCAAATAGTTTTTTTTTTTTTTTTCATTTGATGTTTTATTTGCGTTGCAGTACCTTGAATTGCGCTTCAGCCGCATGGTGCGGATGGCAGCTGTCGCCATCTATACGCTGGAAATGGTATGTATTTTTTTTTGTTTTTTTGACGATACAAGGAACGTTCTCCTTCTTAGAACCGCAAACGCCGTTTTCGGCGAATAAAAAGCACCAGGGGCAGTCTCTTATCGAACAATGCTTCTACTCTGCCTTAAAAATCTGTTTGGAGTGTTATTTTTTTTTTCCTGTTTTGGGATGCATTAACATGCCATTACTTACTAGAAGTTGTTTCTGATTAAAAACTGATTCCAACATTTACGTTTCGGTGTCATTGAGCGTGTTGCGCCCGCTTGTAGCCACTCATATACTGGCACCAATAAATCAGGTAGCCACATACGGAACGTACATTTTCGATATGCATATAAGTATACTTGCGGTTTTGAACTACTCGCGAAACCAAATTTTATATTGTTTATCCAAGCACAAGTGACCAAAAACGCGTCACCTTGCCAGAAAATCTGCTATTTCGGTGCGTAATCGCTAAGAAGAAAACAATATATTTACCGAACTGCAGCCGCTTGTGGTGGTTACAGGGACGGTGCGTCGATTTTAAAACTTTGTCCAATTAACCGCGGAAATTAATCCGTGTCACTCATGGAAGGAAGAACAGAAAACCGTATTTTCTGGCGAGCGGTAGTTTTTATGTAAAAAAAATAAAACAAATCGAAGGTCAAAGTGCTTCTCATCATTCCACGTCGCCTTTCGAGTGACGTACTCTGGGGGATCACGTGGTTTCCACTTGGGCTCTCTCTTCAGAGACCCCAGCCGCTTCCTCAGCGATTGTCGACTTTTAAAGGATCAGCATCGTCGAAGGTCGCGGCGAGCGATCGCTCAGGCCAACAATTATATTCGGGTCCCACTAGTGCCACTAAGCTTGTGTTAAGTGAGAAACATTCCTACAGAGTTAATATTTCCAGATGCGCAGTTATAATTTAGTAGTGGTTTTCACACCTTATCGATATACAGAAACAAATTGTCACACGCCGGCATCCGCAGGAGCAGAAAGTCTAAAGGCATTAAAGTCACGTGTGTAATCCGTCTAAATATATATATATATATATATTTGGAGGTTAAGTGCATCCTGAGACGTGTGAAAAAAGTATGAATGCACATGTATTTATATGATAGAAGGACTGCTTTCTTTGCCGAGGAGATGGCTTGTTTTAATTCAATCAAAGTAGTGATTATATTGTGCGAAAATCGGTTTCAAACTCAGCGTACACCTGATGACTGAGTACCAATTACAATAAAATTCTTTCCTACAGACGATCTACATCTCCATTTCATTGTACGCCCCAGCGCTGGCGTTATCACAATGTGAGCATCATTTTTGACATTTATTATTTTATTAGTTTTGCAAGTACAGGAACATCTTTGACTGAGTTAGAACTAAGAAGAAATATGAAATTCTCTTCTTTTTTCAGTGACTGGAATGACGCTTTGGTCAGCAGTTGCTGCCATTGGCTTAGTGTGCACCGTTTACACAAGCATCGTAAGTATCTGAAGCTAAATAATATATAGCTACAGTCGGTGACAGGTTAAGGATAACGTGGACGCTCCTCCCACTTCTTTTCACTTCAGCAGAGCGAACGCTGGAAAGGAGGTGACCTCCTCTCCACCGTTCGCTTTGCTAAGGTGGAAAGAGGTGGGAGGAGCTTCCACGTTACCCTTAACCAGTCCCCGATTATAGAACTTTTTCACAAGGGTGGCGCCGCCTTGAATGTCGTCACGGCGACAACGTAGTTTTGCTGTCGCCACACCAATAGAATGCATTCAGGATATACACGTAACCGTCACCCATTCTCGCTTAGCACCCCCTCCATTTTTTGACTATTTGCAGCATGAAATGCTTTGTTATTTTTTCGTAGTCCATATCGGCTATGCGTACCAGGTGGCCGGGAACGAGAGTAAACCAAGGTCTATAGGTTCTGTTCCACCAACTTTATCAAATATAGCCGTTATATTAGAACGCTATAACGAGCAGTTTGCACGAAATCCCCCATGCAGCATGCAATCCTTCTATATATATATATATATATATATATATATATGTTCTTTAACGGAATTCGCCCCTCTTTCCGACCGTTCCTCGGTCCGTCCGTGAGAAAGAAAAATATAAAATAAAATAAATAATGTAGACAGAACCGGCGTTCGAGATATAATCCACAGTTCACAAAAAAGTTGACTTGTTGCAGAAAGAATATGTGAAACGCTAATTTAGTCGGACTTGTGTGTAACCAGATTGATACCCGTGCCACACGGGCAACTCGAATGCCATTTACAACGAATGACACTTGAGCGGACGGCCAATCAGCGCGCAACACTCCGGGAGTATTCCACGCGCGACAGATTGCGAGCTGATTCACCGATCACAGAAATGCCATTCGTTGTAAATGGCATTCGAGTTACCCGTGTGGCTCGGGTATAAAAGTGTATGTCGCGGGAAAAGGTAAAGTATGGCTATATTTAAAGCTTTATTCACGTCAAGCTCAGATTTTTCCTATTCAAGGACAGTTAAAATCGTTATTTCTCTTCCCGGTAAACCCGTCTCAGTGGTTAATTTTGGGGGGTTTATTGGTATATATTGCAAACACGGAAGCCTAATCTTATCGTACGAAACACTAGCTTCCGTGGGTGTATGCGCTTCTAGGTTAGAGGTTCCTCCAAGTAGCAACAATCTTTGAAGCTCCGACTGCGTGACGGTACAAATTTTAGGAAGCGAATGGCGGCGCCATACTAGAAGACTGAACTGAATAGCGCCATTTTGTTCCTACGGAATGTGCTTCGTCTTTTGTTTAGTTGTGATTACTTGCAAAAAGAAGCATCGAGGGAATTTATTATGAGTAAGGCCAACGACCTTCATTTAAAACGGTAGTGAATCATCTACGTGTTTTAGTCTTGACGTGGAGGAAGCTGACATAGCCTCGTCATGCGCAGTATTCGAACAACTTCGGCGTATTTTCTGTTTAAACTGCAGCTGTTAATGAAAAGAATAACGGAGCGGACAACTGGCAACGGCAACAAGATACGATTTTTTTTTTCACTTCAATGGCTTTTTTTTCTCTTTTTGTAGCTAATGGCAATAACAAGTTAGAGTCTTTATACTAGTTGGCGCGGTGTGGATAGTTCAAAATGCTCTACAACAAAAGTCAGATTTAACGTACGGTAATTTACAGTATAAGTAGCGTTTTTAAAAAAAAAATCTGTCAAGGCGTTTTATAGAAGTTGCAACGTATGCGGATAGCAAGTCGTCTGCTACTTGTGGAGGAGTTGCGGTGACATAAGAATAACGCCGAGCTCAATTGGCTTTGATTGAAAGGGTAGTGGGTATGACCTACTATTTTCTTGTTTTCAATCAGCAAATAAGAGCTTGGCGTTCTAACGTCATCGCAACCCCTCTGCACCTTGCGCTCCGCACATGCATCTTGTTCTCGAAGTATCGAACTTAACTATCCAAATTTATGGAAGGGGTTGTACTTCTCGTTCGATTCGTTGACGAGAATGTTGAAACTGACTTTCCGCTTGTGCATACTCGTATCGCGATTTCACTACACATACGCCCGCTTATCAATGCATTTTCATCGCACCGACCATAAAATTGTAATTTAAGAACGATTTATACAAAGGTGCAACTTATATTCCAACTTTTTTTTTTGTGTGTGAAAACACTGGTTTATTGGATGGTGCAACTTAAAGACCGGGAAATACGATATTTGGAGACCGAACCACAAAATCGTAGCTGGCGCGTACTCAACCAGCACCTTCCAGAAACGAAAGCTTGCGCGCCTGCTCCCTGACATCACCGTGACTAGGACAACACCCGGAAAAGCGACAGTCGGCCGGGCGCCAAGCTTTGCAGTGCCGACGGGATGGCGAGGTACTGTATTGTATACGAATGTTACTCACCCATGCGTGACAACGACGTTTATATAACAACTATGACTTCCAGGCTTTGTCTATCAAGTTACTCGACTGAAAACACTCATGATAAATATTAGCGACTACACCCTTTCACGATTATTCAACTTCATCTCCTTTATAAAAGCGAAGCGCTGGTGTGTAAGCACAAGTATTTTCTTTTGAAACAACTTTTTCACGTTTTATGCTTACCACACGACTAGAAAATATGAATAGTATTTTATGCCTAGAGCCTTCCTGTTCGTTTCTTGAAAGATAAAATAAAAGTAACAGCACGCTGTCGACATCCCACCACAGGTTGGACGGGCACTGTTGTATTTAAGAAAATGTATAAAAATGAGTGGACATTGCGCTGCTTAAGGGGTCATTTTTTGAAAGGGTGATACAAGTAAATGTACGCGAAATGGGACTGCCCTAGAGAAAGATCTTACATGTATAAGCAATTTTTCGTCCAGTAAACACATATCACATAAAATCATATAAGAGCATATAAGAACCTTATAAAAACAGATGAAAACAATACAATATTATATAAGAAGCTATAAGAAACTTCTTATCAGTAGCTTATAGCTTTTTATATACCCTTGTATGGTTCTTTTATGTTCTTGTATATTCCTATTTGATCATATGCGTTTATTGGACCAAGATGCTTCTCAGACAAATAAGAGTTTAGCCTAGGGTGATCAAATACAAGGGAAGAGACCATCATGTAATAATTAAGAGTGAAATAATGTATAGTTTGTCCCAGGAGGCAATGACCCAGCGGCTATGTACAGTGCGCCGCAATATGAAAGACCCACTGAGAGCGCGTGGCCGAGGCGATAACTGGCGGGGGCGCTGCCAGTGTGTCGGGCCATTCCATTCTGCTTTGAGGGAAGGACGCTTACTCAAGGCTCAACGCGCTTATCAGTTTGTGCAGAGCCCCGAGTGAGCGTCCTTCCCTCGAAGCAGAATGGAATTGCCCGGAGCGCTCGCAGCGCCCCCGCCAGCCACCGCCTCGGCCACGCGCTCCCAGTGGGTCTTTCATATTGCGGCGCACTGTACAAAAAAGCTCAGTTTCTCTCATTTTTTTTTTACAACACTACGTTTTTGCGAACACAGACAGCTTTCGCTTTTTGGCTAGAGCAGACCTGACATCCTGCACTAAGGCAGCATTTTTACCTTGGACACACTGTTGAGTGGAATATCAGTCGACGAGGTGAGGATTGCTCAAGTGTCCAACTCTTCGAAATCTGGCGGCGTAGATAGTGTCAGGTCCCTGACAACTTTTCATGCAGCCGCAAGAACTGATCGATGTGCTCAGTTCTTGCGGTTTAATAATAATGTCTTCATTAAAAATAATTATATTATGTAGAAAAAAGAAAGCGAGTGTTAGAGGATTATTTTGCGGTGGACAATGTACCTGTGTGATTTATTTGAACAAAATTAGTCACACATGTTGATAAAGACACAAATCATTATTTTACCGTTTTGGTTAAGATGTGCAATATGAATGCTCAATAAAACGTCTAATACCGTCTGCAGATACACATGAGTACTTAAGGGCAAGCAAGTTTGGTTAAGGGAATAAATTCTTTCGGTGTCGTTACAGTTTCCTTTATAAATTCAACAATAAAATATTCTGGATATATAAGTCAACATTAACAGACTGGAAAAGAAAAATCGAACCACAACATGTCGTTCTAAACTACAGTTGTGACGAAGGGCAAGACGTGAGACTGGCGACACTGACTTTCGTTTTATCAAATAGTAAACAAGGTGCTAGAACAGAAAGCAAAATACGCTGATTACACCAGCTGGCACGCTAAAACCAACAAGATACTTCGAAACACTTGGAAAGCGATATCTCCATCTCAAAATACGTACTTGAGATTTTAGGAAATCGCGGAGTTGTTTACTACATAAATAATCTTTCCAGTAAAAGTGACAATATGAAAATGCAAGGATAAAACAAAAAGCTGGCAAACCAGCATACCTTCGAAGAACACCGTAACTTGAACTTCTTTCTCCGGCATTGCCTTGATCCAATGGGTACGCAGTTACTCGTCGGTTGGGAAGGAGAATATGCGCACCCAGATCGGTTCTCCGGCATAATTCCCCCGACACCACGGCACACAACACTTATAAGGGCACTGGTCCTCACATTCGCGCACACGAAAACATTAGAGATTCTGGTCGAGGACGGACGCAGTAAAAACGCGGGCGTATATCTCCGCATTTGCAACGGCCTGGCCTTTTTTTTTTTTTTTTCGCTTGCAATCCGCCTGCTTGATAAAGTTGTGTCGTCACGTCACGTAATCCTGTTTTTTCCCTAATTTTTTTCATTACATTAGTCGTTACAGCTTACAACAAACTTTTATCTTCACCGCTTAGACCGAACGCAACGAAAATGACGACGCATAAAAAAAAAAAAAAATTATTTCCCCCGGGGTATCCGAAGAGCTTCGTCAGCATCGTCGCAGGTGCTCGGCGGTGAAGGTACTCTGCTGGCACTTCACGCTCGTCTTAGGGCTAGGATCAGTGACGTAGCTGACCCAACAAACCGAAGCGCGCAGTCTTTAGATTGATCGACTAGGCTATTCGCAACTCTTGCAACTTCAAAGAAGCCAGAGCCATCCAGCGAAATGGATGCGAGGGAAAGAAGCGAGTAGCTGCCTTATTCTACTCCGCCCCCCCCCCCCCCCCCCGCCCACCCCTTTTACTGCTTTTATCCTAGCGTGCAGCGAAAACTGGCGCGATCTGGTGGCCAAAATGTAAAACAGAAAAAAAGCAGTGTATTCTCTGCACGTCGTTTGAATTGCGTATACGCATACAGGACTTGCAATGCATTGTTTAACCGATGCATTGTAAGTGCAGTCGATACTTCGAGAAGTTGGGGGGCAACTTGGGGCCGATCAAGAAATTTGAAAAACGCAACGCTACGCCGTTTGCTGTCTTTCTGTAAAGGTTTGCTATCACCGGCAAAAGATCGCGATATCAGTAGTGCGGAATCACATGTGCCGTGATTTTGCGTGTTTTTGGTTGTGTGTTCGTGAATGTGGGTCTTCTGTACAGTTGCCGACATCTTAAGGAATGCAGGGCGTGGCGTGTCTTGAGCATCTTATTATCAATCAATCAAAACTTTATTTTTTTTTTCAGAAACACGGGAGGGGTTCTCAGACAAAACGACATTAGACACAGCTTGACTGAGTACGGGTTCCCGTTTACACTGCCAGCAGGTCTGATAACACAGACATATAAAACATTAAAAAGTAGACAAAAATAACATAAAAATACATAACACAAAAATTTTAGGAAACAAGACTCAATTAATTAGACTTAAAACAATAAGTATATAGGTCTTTTTTTCAATTGTGAGAATCTTTGATAATTTAGATAATATTTATTTAACACGCATGGTACATTTTAATACGATTGGACTTTCTAGTGTGTGCGAGACCGAGGGAGGACCCACCTGTCTTCATGGCGTGTGTTTATATTACTTTCGTGTTTTTCAAGTTCGCTTCAGATCCAATCAGATTGTGGCATTAGCCGACACGTGATAGAATAAGCTACGTTCTGCGTTTCTTAAGCTGTCATTACTATATCAGACGAAAATACTTTTTTTTAAATATTGTGTCAGATAAAAGTGATGGCTTAACTTTTGTCTAATTTATGTTTTAAGGGTGGCATCAAGGCTGTCGTGTACACCGACACCTTTCAAGCCGTCGTTACCGTGCTGGCCATGGTGGTCGTGGTACTGCTCGGCATCCGAGAGATGGGAGGCTTCCAAAAGGTCTGGGACATCTGCCGCGACGGACACAAGATTCAATTCGACGAGTAAGAATTCCCCCGTGGCATCATGATACATCGATTACTTAAGAAATGTCAGGGCAGGACCAACCAACACCGCCTATGTGAGAATCAAAGCCCGCGCCCGAGCAAATTTAGATGTCATCGGACTAAAATCGAGCGCAGACGCAGCTTTGGCACGACTGCTGCCTCAGCGTTGGACTGGGCCTCGTCTCCAGTCAATGCATTACAGCACGGTCGGCGTCAACCTCGGGTTCAAATGCCGAGTTAGAGACTCTTTGCATGATTTGATTACTCTAGGTGCTGTTGGGACAGCCCTTTCGCTTTGACCGGTTCCAAAATACTCGTTTTCATTAATGTTTCAGAGTGAACCCCAATCCTATGATCCACCAGACAATCTGGGGACTGTCCATCGGAATGTTCTTCACCAACGCAGCCAGCTATGCCACCAACCAAATGATGGTGCTCCGTTACCTGACCGTTCCGACACTCAGAGAAGCCAAAATGTGAGATTGTTTTCCTCATATATGTACATCTACTACGAATGCAATGTGCGCCAAATTCGGAGATAGTGGTGTTCATCGGAGATCAAGCGGGAGTTTCTGAACTTTGTCTTCGGTCAAATATTTCGATAAGACATGAGGACGGGTACTGCACTAGCGACCTAAAAGAAATTGGGCACGTATGTGCCCGCTTGCTTCATTATTTCTTATGTTTCCAAATATTCCAGATGTTGGCCTCCAAATTTCATGTGCCAGTCCTAGTCAAGTGCATGATTCCACCAAAAAACGGAAGTGACGCCAAAGAAATATGGCAGGCTGGTCCTGCATGCATTTTCCGCGATACCAAGTCAGGCGACTTTCGCTTCAGAAATATCAAATCATAATTATAGTGTCCAGTGATTTGTCTCACGAGCAGTTGAAGGGAGCTGCAGAAAACTGCAGCATTTTTTAAAAATATAATAAAAATTTGTGTTTCATTGCGAATGAACCAACTGTCCTTTAAGGCACAAGCTCCTGCAGCACAAAAACGCTCACGGCAGAGTACTTCCACGATATGGCACTTGTAGACATTCGTTGAATTAAGGGATGAGTAGCTAAGCTCCGTTTCAGCCTGGGATTCAAGGTGACGAATAGGGTTACTGTAGCTTGCAAATGAATTAACGCTTCTTCAGAATTTCTAACTGTAAATATACAGACCAGATATATTTCTTCCTTACACAATGATCTTCTTTTTTTTTTTTTCAACCAGCGTGGTATGGCTCAACTTCCCCTACTTGTGCATCGTTCTGGCTTTGAGCTGCTTTGCGGGACTTCTCGTTTACTCTAAGTACGCTACCTGTGACATCTACGCCATCAAGCAGATCTCGACTGAAGACCAGGTATTTTAACACTTGGTTCCTAGGCCTCAGTTACAGCGTTTCGCGATATTATTGTTGGACCCGCCTAAGCGTCGATACCTGCCATAGTGACGTATATTTTTTTTCAGTTGCTCCCATATTTTGTCATGGATGTCCTCGGAAAATTAAGAGGTATACCCGGCCTGTTCGTCGCTGGAATATTTGCCGCCTCACTCAGGTATATGAGAAAATCCTCAGACCATTGTTATATATGTTGTCATTAGGATATTGCGCAAAGGACCAAAACCTTTTTCGAGATCATAAGACGTCTGCACGTTTATAGTTATAGAAAAAAAAAAAAACGACAAGCACGCATTTAACCGAAACCAAGCTTTTCAAAGGAGTACAGAACCCTCACTTTTGCATAGACGGACGGGAAGATTTAAGCTGCCTTCGGGTACTGACGTGTTTATGGCTGGAACAGTAAAACAACAAAATGTATAACGGTTCAAGTAAACGGATGGATTTTTTTCATTTTTAAATAAACGTAGACAGTTGGTTAATCAGAACACTCACTCTGACGTGTGTGACGTGACATCAGGGGTTCCCCAAGGATCTGTGTTTGGTCCATTACTGTTTTTAATATTTATAAACGACTTAATGTGATAAAGATGTGCACGCTAGACTGTTTGCAGACGATTATTTAGTATTTACTGAAGTCCAGACGGTCTTCGATAAAAAAAAACTGTATTGTTCTTTGGCCAAACTAGGTGAAAAATGTGCCACGTGGCAAATGTCTTTGAACCTTAAAAAGGCAGTGTGCATGACTATCACCCACAAACGCCAACCGATATTGTTTCCCTACAATCTTAATGGTACCTTGTTAACTCGTGTGGAAGAATATAAATATCTAGGCGTCACGATAGCAGGAATACGCACGACCGTAATATAGTTAACAAGCCTAATAGTAGTTTGGGTTTTCTTCGCAGATCGCTTAGACATGCGTCCCCTGAAACGAGGCTTTTAACCTATAACATGTTGGTGAGACCCTTACTTGAATAGGCTTCAGAAGTATGAGAACCTTACGTAACATATCTTGAACAGGAATTGGAAAGTGTTCAACGCTTTGCCCCGTGCGCTTTATATTTTCTAGATACCACCGACTTCAGTTCCCCACACAGCTTCGTTCTCAAGCCAGTCTACCGTTGCTTACCAGCAGTAAAAAAAAAAAAAAAAAAACGTTTAAAACTTCTTTATATGGTTCTTACTAATCTTCTTTATATCTACACAGTATCATATGTTACACCCCTCACCAGTCCAGAATTTCAAGAAATAAGCAAAGTCGGCATCTACAAGAATACAGATACGATAAAGAGTGTTTTGAAAATTCGTTTTTCCCACGCACAACACGCGAGTGGAATGCACTGCCCGAAAGTGTTGTATCTTGCAGCAAACCTGAGGAAGTTTTCTCTACATCGATTGCGCTTCCTGAAATTTAGATATGTATGCACGAATACAAGTTACTTGGATGTTTTACCCCTGCAGATTTTGTTTGAAGTGCCCTTTTTCCACTCCTATAAGTGTTCTAAACAGGGGACTAATAGTATGTTAAATAAATAAATAAATAAACGTGGCGAAAATTAAGTGCAGCTTAGACGACAATACAAACGGATGAACATTTATGTGTTTGTGCTGTGTTATAAGTGTCTTGGGAACTTCTCAATATGTAAAACAATCTTTTTTTATATATAACTAAATACATAAAATGCGGTAGATCGGCATAAGTCTGAGTTGTTAGCGAGAAAATTAAAAAGAACGAACGGTCTCTTATTTTTATTTCCGCTTAGTGGCATGCACAATGCCTATTGTCATAGTTAATTAACGGGTTCTTGAGCACCTGATAATGCACTGAAACGTGGTAAATATAAAATGTTTGACGAAACGTTTGTCAATCATAACCTGTTTGAGAAACGGTGATTGATGAAGGTGATTAAACTGTATGTCGAAAAAAAAAAAGACAACGCAAGTTTGAAAAAAAGAAGCGTGTAGTTGGGTGCCAATGATTTATGCTAAATCCACGAGAGCTTTTGTAAAGTTCATTCGAAATTCAACTTGCCAAGTCCCCGAATGTACATCAAGCCAATTATTTGTAATGTCCGGGTAAACAAGTCGTCTTTCATAAAACACTCCCATATAAAAACACAAAACAAAAAAAACTTTCAGCCTCTCCACTCTGGTGAAGAAGGAAGACCAGCGAATCTGTACTATGGTGGGAATGAAGTAATGGCCAGTCGCAAGTCGGCAAGCCAGAATGGAAATGCTGGAAATGTTGCCCCCATCTATGAGCAATAGTGGTGACCAGACAACCGGCAAGCCGGTTGTATGGTCGCCGCCTTTGTCTGATCTGGTCGCAAGCCTGTTGTCTGGTAGCCCTTGTCGCTCATAAATGGCGGTAGATGTCCAGAGTTTTGTGTCATCATTTGTTTGCTGGTGGACACGATCCTGGGGAAACTAGCCCTTAACAGCTCGGCTGTAAAAAAAAAAAACCTAGCTACATTGATAATGTGGCGTTTATGTTTAGTTATATGTGCATAATAATATTCATGTCCGCTGGCAGGTTCTAACGTCACACTTCCCTTTTCAGCTCCATCTCATCAGGAGTGAATGCCTTGGCATCGGTCTACTACGTGGACGTGATAGCCGTCTTCAGAAAAGACACCAGCGAACAGACCGGTGCTCGGATAATTAACGGTTTGGGTGAGTCTCTTAAAGAATTTTTCCTCCTGGTTCAAAATCATCTGTATTGGGGACGCATGGCCTTGTGCTGGGAATAGGCAATCGTCACATATTTTCTTTTTACAATCCACTATGGGTTAACTCTAATAGTGAGTTTCAGCACGCACGCATCGCGAAGAGCGGTACGGTTACCGGGAGCTCGCGCTGTGATTTTAAAGCCTGCCCTTATTTCGTGCCCGGACAGGTATACCGCTCCGGCACTAGCAATCGCTAGCGCTATGCTAGAACTCTACAATGAAATAATCAGTGCCGTGCGCCCTGATGCTTTAATTACGGTGCCCAAGAACGACTGGTGCGTTCAGCGTCCCCGATGTGGCAACAAATGAAGTCTCGGAGGAGCCGACGTGTTGTTCTGTCAGATGTCGCGATCCTGGTGATTGGTCGTGCAAGTTCAGACACAAAAGAGAAGCGAACGCAATTGTCCCTTGCGTCGCAGCGTACCAACTCGTTGCTGCGTAGAGGGCATCTTCAAAAATTGTCGTGATAGAAATGACAGCCAACGTAGCCCAGGAGCCCGCGGAGATGAAGCGCGTCACCTACCGAAAACGGGACTCATTTTCCCATTAAAAATAAGTAAGAAAATTACTTACAACTTTTGAACCAGATAACAGCAAGCTCTGGAGCCTTGACATCTGCTCTGGACCGTTAGCTCTACATTGGGGTAAGAATCAACATTCCATGACGAGCAACTATATTTTACGGTAAAAAAAAATGTACTACTGCTTTTTTTTTAGACACATTGTAGATTAGTGATAATATGACTGGAGCGTGTCTCTGGTGTGTTTACAACGTAATTCGCTGTTGTGCCACCACCAATATCGCGACAGGCAACAGCATGAAACTTCCACGACTTCATAATGAGGAAATCCAGGGACCACATTTCAGGTGCTCCAGGCACAATTAGCTCTAATGTACAGCGTTTCTCCGAAAAATATAATATTTACGATGTTTTTTACTGTAAAAGAAATCTACACGTCATGGAATGTTGACTCTTCGCCCCAACGTAGCGCTAGCGGTCCAGACGAGATGCTAAAATTCCAGAGCTTGACGTTATCGGAATCAAGAGTTGTAACTGTTTTTTTTTTAATTTTTAGTATGAAAATAAGGTTAGTTTTTGGTAGCTGACACCCTCCATCTTCATATATTCATAGGCTACGTCGGCTGCTATTTCCAGAATAAAAATTTATGAAAATACCTGCTAGATTTTGAACCAGATAACGGCAAGCTCTGGAACTTTGGCAGCAGGAACGAACCGCTAGCGCTACATATGGAAAAATAATCAGCATTCGGCGGTGCGTGGTTTATTTTTATGGTTAAAAAAAGTCGTAGTTTTTTCCCCTGATGTGCGAAGAAACGAAAGGTATAGCTATAGCACGATTGCGCAATGCGGGTTGAATGGTGCCGTCAAGTACCTGAGGACGGAGGTGCTACGTGGTTAATTCTCATAGCCGTCGTGGTTAAGGTCGTGGATGCCACAGAGTCACAGACGACTGCCACCAGTGCTCGGTGATTCGTGCAGTAAATGGATAAGTGCGGTTGAGGTAACGGGCGTAGCAACTAGACAATGCAAAAGTGGGATTTCGCATAAAGCGAGTAATGTTTGAACACAAGTCTTTCAAGCAGACGACACGAAGAATCTCCCTTCGTGGAGTCATTCTTGGCGGGACGCCAGGGCTGCCCTCTTTATTTTCTTCGCGCGGCACGACCGACGGGAAGTCCCGACTTTGACTTCGTTTTCCTCGCGGCAAAAAGGGGAAGGAGAGTTTTTTTTTTTTTTTTTTAATTATTCGCGCGCCCGGCGACGAGAGCCCACAAGGACGAAATGTCTGCGAAGTGTCGCAAATAAAGCTTAAAAAACTAAACAAAAAAAACAACAAAAACAAACCACCGCATTTTGGGGGGCTAAAAACATCGTATATTAAGATATAGATGATCATAATGCTGGTGTAGAGCGCCCGGTTTTTCTTCGCCGTTCTGTTCTCGGTGGACTGCAGGTGTGTTCTTTGGCCTGCTGACCATTGGCCTGGTGGCCGTCGCTTCGCACATGGGCAACGTGCTCGCAGTGAGTTGACGCGCTTGCGCTTCCGTCGGTCGGAGTTTTGCCTCCCGGGGGTTCGGGGTGTGTGGTTCGGAGCTTTGTAATACCGCGCAGAGTTCGGGGGAACATCGCGCGGGCCTCGGAAAAAACCGAGCACTTTATTGCGTGATTGAACTGAGCTTTAAAGTCTGGTTGTGGTTCAACGTCAGTGTTGAGAGGCCGACCATCAATGCTGCGTTGAACTAGAGCCGTACTTGGACCAACAGAGCAATAGTAATACTGTGTAATAGCAATATTAATGGTAGGAATAACCGTAAATCGGATTAGTGTTTTCGGCACAAGTTTGCCAGTTAAACATTTAAGCAGATGTGACACGCACGAAGTTCAAGTTAAAAGCTTAGGTTTCACTGATGTGTATGCTGGGCTGCACTAAGGTGCTGAGCTGCCCTAAGATCTACGTATCCTGCAAGACATTAGGGATTTGCATCATGCACTTCAGGCGTCATGTTACATTGGGCACTCGGAATGTGTAGCGAGTGAGACATACGTCGCAGAGAGAGCTATATTTCATGCTCGTGGGGCACAAATTGCTACCACCGGCAAGCAACATTGGTTTGCGAAATAAATTTCTGCTCAAGGCGTTCAAACAACAAGAGACCAGCGATTTCTAAGGAATTCTAGACTTAACCTTATACTGTTTAATACAATCAAGGGATACATTATATTAATTATAAATTATAACTTATAATCACTGGTTACCTTAACATTGTTGAAGGAATAGAAGACGAGGGATAATAATCGAAATTGAATCAAATTGAGATATGAATATGCCGCGGTATGCATAGCTCGTGAACCAGATTTCAACCTTTGTCAACGTTTCCTCCGAACTCTGTTTTATTCTACAAACTCCAAAAAACACCTCCTGGACACTCTGAATGTAAAACCCGGCAGTGACGGAACTGTAAGTCATTGCATCATTATTTATTTTTCTTTCACGCATCTGCGTTGCATGCCTTTCGCTGTAGAACTGTATGTCCATGGGCTTGCCATATAACGCGATAGACTAAATCGCATTCTTTGCTTCTCCTTTGGCCATGCTTTTCTTCCCTGGCTACGTAACCACAGGCATCGCAAGTCATCAATAGCGCCATTGGAGGTCCCCTTCTGGGTCTTTTCACCGTGGGAATGTTTGTGCCCATGGCAAACAGCAAGGTTAGTGTCGTCAAGATACCACTCACGACTTGCGAATGTTCGATTTCTTTCTTTTGAATTCGGAGTTCCAGCCCTTGTGTTTGGTCAGCCCTGTTCAACTTATAACTGCTAATTCTCAGGTTTTATCATTTTTATTTTGTTACATGCAACTGTTTACATGCCGCTATTGCAATATAAAACTTGTAACCTGCGGTTTATGAACGTAGACTGGCAAATCACAAGTACCAGAGCGGTCGTAGTAAAAAATAAATGTAGCAATAAAAATCAACAACTGCGCACATAGTATATATCATTTGCGTCGTTCTGATTATTGCATATCGTATACGCTTCCATACTTCGTTTCGCCTTACGATTGGCGGTAGAGGACGCTACCAGTCACCAAAGCAGATCTCGTGACGTGTGACTGTCAGGTTACCCTCCTCTGATTGGTGGAGCGACGAGGGTTGCGTAGTCACGTGATATCTTCCTAGCGCTGGATCTTCTGGAGAGGCTCGTAAAGTCTGCTGGTGTTTATCGTAAAGGCCCTGTCACACTGAGGCAACACGACGGCAACAGCAATACAACACGTTGCCCAACAGTCGGGCAAAACTTGTTGCTCGCTCGCCGTGTTGTCCGACAAACCTGTCACATCGCCGCAACAGCAGGATAACATGGACGACAACTTAAACGTTGCCTCGTTATGACAGGTTTCGGCAACAAAAACAGCAGCAACTTGGGTTGGACGACGTGTGTTGCCCAGACCGCTGGCTGAGCGAATTTCGGGCCGGCAACATGACAGCAAAGATAGCTTCGATGTCAGAGCTAGTTCCCTATCAATACCGTCTTACTTGAATAAAGGCTTAGAGAACGTTTTAACAATAAGTTTTGGGCACTGGGGTCATCTTTGAAAAAGGTCGGTTTTAATCTTATATCGTTTAAAAGGTATTAGTTCCCGCATTTACCAAGTCCTATAATACAAAACCGCTTATTCATCTCAGGTCAATAGAAAAAACATGTGGACTCTTTTTTCTCGCGGACTATATTGTGTGGACTAATGAAAGCCATACAATACGCGCACCTTCCGAATGATTTCATTATAACTCGTTTCGAAGAGAATTTTATAGGTACCCATTCGGATAAAACTCCCCTTTTTCACTGCGGGCGGAGTCATCACTTGCAACTCGCCGACAAGCGCCCTCCGTCGACCACTCGGAAGAAAATTCTTTCCAAAAAGGACGTGTCGCGGTCTTTGAACACGCTTTTAAAGAGGAAACAAACTACGCGCGATTGTAATTTTGGGTTTGTTGGGATCCTTAGGGCGTCTAAATGGAGTTGTCACCACAAACGGACGATCTCAGAATTGACATCAGTGCCCTTTTAAGGCTGAGCGTGGAGCTAAAATAATTTGATGAATGTTTTTACGGCGTAATTGCGAAAAGCGATTGTCGAAATGGTCATAGCTACGGTCGTGAACGTTCAGACTGGTGTTGAAATTAGAACTGCCGAGAGACCAGCTCACATTATACTGCTGGTGAAATAAAATGGCATGCCTTCACCTGATATAATAAATATATATACAATAAAAATAATCCGGGAAAGCAAAGTTTAAAAAATCGAAGCATTAAAACGACCACTGTTGATGCTTGGAACTTGGAAACACCTGATATGTTTCGAAAATACCCAGGATGTTTTGGGGAATGAAGCGATCACATAGCAGGTGGTAGGCCAATATACAGCGTTGAAAAATCTTTATTCCACCGATTGTCTTGAAGGCCGGTCATGTCGGTGTCGTGTAGTTTTAAGCACTGTCAGTTCAGTTCAACATCACGGTATAAAAGACGCTTTGGGGAACTGCCGGTGCTAACTCAATTTTACAAAATAGGAATTACATGAAGGAAAGAACCGGACAGAAACATTTCATACGGATTTCCTCGGTTAAGGCTATCTGCTTTGTCAGCGAATGAATAACATTTTGATAAAAAAAGGTGAAAAATACTCCCCGTGTCAAGTTTTCTAATCACAGTCACTGGTTGATGTCGTCTCGTAGTAATTTCCGGCACTTCGAAAGCACTAGCACTTTGTTGAGTCACATTTCCAGAGACTCTGCGCCGCACACGAACGAAGGTAAACATTCAAGAGGGCGGACTGATCCCCGTATTGCCCCCACCGTCAGCGCGGTGTGACAGTGTTGTCGAACAAATCGGACAACACGGTGGCCGGGCGGCCGCAACATGTTGCCCGACTCTTGTTGTCGCCGCGATGTGACAGGGTCGCCGGCAACACGACTTCCTCGTGTTGCCGGATAGAGCTGTCCAACTGTCGCCTCAGTGTGACACGTCCTTAAGGTGATACGGAGTATAGCGGATGGACGTACTAGTAAAGGTAACTATGGCTGTTGGCAGCAGTCTATAAAAAAGAGTGCTCGTAGTTTACGTGAGTGTGCGATGCGTTCTCTCGCAGGGCGCCTTATCTGGGCTGTTCGTTTCTCTGACGCTGTCCCTCTGGCTAAACCTGGGTGCCTTCGTTCACAACTTGGGCACCGCGTCTCCTCCCGCCACGGTGGACGGTTGTCCAGAGGAATTCCGGAATGTCACAGGTTTCGGAACCTACGCGACTGGTGCACCGGTCATCACCGGGTGAGCGAGGCTTGTCGCAATTTAACGTCTCCGATGGAATCATGCTACTCCCAAGTTTCCATTAACCATCCTCATGCATGCTTAGTTTTACATGAACTCGAAGTCTTTAGCCCGAAATCTTAAATTTTAAACGTACGAGAAGCGGTTTGCTGTGTAATCTCTTGAGACTCGTCACTCGCAGTTAAACGTTGGAGAAGCACAGTGGATCTTATAATCAGGTGCGAATACTACAACTTCCTAATATCATTGACGAGTTTATGAAGCAATAAGGTCAAAGAACCTCTTTGAACATTAGGCTCACTATCAAGGAACACGCATATTTGAGTAATTACACCATTATGAGTATAATGTAAATTAATTTCTATTTTATCTTAAACTGTTCACAATGCGTTTCACAGAGCGACGCGCGCTGGCTTAAATTTAAAAGAAAAAATGTTACTTCCCGCTTCCAGTTTTAAATCGATTAAAATGCGGACTGGGCACTCTACGAATCGGATATCACCTCTCAAATCATCAAGTGTGTGTACTTTCAAAGTATTCCTCGATACATCACACTGATATTATACTTGTACAAACTAGAATCGTTTGGTTTTCAGAGAGAACACCTTGGACGTCTACAAGCTATCTAACCTCTGGTACAGCATGATTGCATTTTTCATCGTAATCATCGTCGCAGTCCCAGTGAGCTACTTTACCAGTGAGTTCCGATGCGCATCCTGTATTTTGCACGTTAGAACCAATATTTTTGCATGGTAGGTTTTGTTGAATCATATGCGAGAAACTTACAAACCACTACACTCATCAAGACTTCTGCTCCAACCATCGCAATCTGTTTATGCTTTTGTGGCGAGATTTACCAATAACAAGCTGCCTGTCACGTCAAGAACAAAAAGCTGCCTGCGCAGTGGTCAAGCGCTTCGCGTAGAAGTCCTTACAAGATTTAGTTCTCGGGGAAGAAACCAATCCACAAACACCGTAACTTAACCAGCACGCTCCATTTCCACGAGAAGAAACCAATGTTTTTGACGTTTCAACGTTTACGCCTTGATAAGATATCAAATAGCTAATCTAAAATGCAGCTACATATGTGTCTTAATTCGCCACATGAAATGACCCAACGCAAACATTAGACTTTTTATTTTTTTATTCCGGTTTTTGAGGTAAATACGAATATAGAATGCTGAGTGTATGTGTATACATATATATATATATATATTGATTTTAATTTGGTCTATTTTGCCTCAATGAAAACAGAAATTTTAGTGTTTTTGTATGTTTTTTAACAAAGAATGTGTTTTAGGGCTGGGTTTTTGAGAAAATCAACGTGTTATATTCGACCGACACATAGGTCAAGGTCATTTAAACAAGAGGTGATAGCCCCATAGGGGCTACATTGCCTATTTACCTTGACGTAAGGATGTCACGTGACATCCTGGCGCCATGTGACACATTGACGTGATATAATGACGTCGATTGACCCCATAACGTCGCATGAGACACGAACTTGACGTCAAGTCACGTGACATGACTACGTCAGGGGGCGTCAGAGTCGTGTTAAGTCGCAAAGTCACGTGACGTCACATATACACAGCATGTGTCCAGCTCATTCGCAACACCTTTTGTGCGTCTCCATGTTTTTTAGATATGATGAAGACATGCTTACTTTTAGGGCTCCTAGATTGGATCAAACAGATTTGAATAAAATATAAAATCTGAACGATTTGCGACCATATTTTACTCTGTCACCCACGACAAGAGCTTGAGGATAACGAAGATTTGTTTTAAGAATAAATAACGAATGTTTCTCTGTATTGTGCATTTCAGCTCCAACAAACGCTGCCACGCTAAATCCAAAACTCATCTGTCAGTTAGCCGACGTCGTCTTTTGGTTTGCACCTGAGAAATTCAGGAGACACTTCAGACTAAACGTCGGGAACGACTATGTAAGTTCGACTAATCCTTATGTTTATTTCTTAATTTCGTCCTATTTTAGGTTTAAATGTTACGCTTCAAATATATCTGAGTGTTCTGTCGGCTTCCTGACCTACTCGTAAGATGGCATTCATCGCAGGTAACCATAGATAGGATTTAAAACGCACATTTTCGTCTAAATGCAAATTAAAACGAGAACAGTCACACCAATTCAACTACCTCATCCAGTCCGCACCTGATGAAAAGCCGCATAGCAGGTTTCACAGATATCAAGTCTAAAATTCACGGAAACTTTCTGAACGCTTAATTTAGAGCCAAATGTTAGCACAAACAAATGCTCTCCATTATGTCATTGAGCTGACTTCCCAACTACCCCTTAAATAATCTTACACAAATAACTATATGGCGCAGAGTAAAAACCATTATATTACCCCTGAGCACATCCGTCTCCTGCGTACATGATTATAAACAGTTGATATTTTTGTCAAGTCGATGGAGGTGCCTTCTACCACAGGTCTAAAACCATCTAATAACATTTAAAACAAATTATTTTTTAACACGGGGAACGTTCATCATCTTTCGTTTCAGCTCTGTTAGTTTAGACCTGTGACCCTCAGCATGCTTAATTCTTAACTTATCCCCCAAATTTTTAGCTGCGTACCTGTACGGGCTTTTTTCTTCCATGCAGAGGCAGACAAAACGAGCCGTCTTTAATATTCAGCTCTGCCGCCTTTTTTGACAGGTTGAACCCAGCAAGCCCCAAGAAGAGAAGACTCCGGTCAAGCATATCACATTGGATATCCCGCACAAGGCACCCAAGGAGTCTCTTAGTACCATTTCGTACATTCGCAGCATCACAGATCTGTCGTTCCCCGAGCCGCCGTCGCTTCGAAGATCATCTTGCGACGTTTTCAGCTGCCGGCTATAACACAACCATGCTGATATGATAGTTTTATTTTAAAGTGCCAATTGTGCAACAACCTCATTTCCAACCCACGCTGTTCAAACCGCATGTTTATTTTTAGTTTAATAGACATGGTCAGGTCAAAGTTGGCCATACTAAAACACCGAGTCCATGCTTCTGCTATTTACCTTCATTGTCACATCGACTGCGCCATTCAGGATTTACTTTTTGCTTTTAAGAGCACGGTGCTCGAATCTGTCAGGAAAGTTCGAAAAAAGTTTGATTCCAAAAGAGTGCAGAGTACAAATAACATTTGACTGATGCGATGCAAACATTTGATATTTGGGCAAGGTGTGCGCAGGCACGTGCTACAACAACGCGGCCGGATTTCTGTATTCTTGTCTTGTCATCATGAGCTGTTTCAAACAACTGCTGGCGTCTATTTTAAAGGTTGAGTATTGTTTTTAAGGAAAAGGGTGTCTTTCTTGCAGCATTAGAGGGTCAAGTGGTCAAGTGAATTCACGCTGGTAACTGATACAACTTTTTAATTCTGGTATCGTTTGGCCGTCATACCTTGAAATGTCCACACAGGACACTCATTTTTCGTTTACCAGCGACCGTTGTGGACTGCCATGTGCACCGGACAATCATGTGTTGTGTGACAGCAATGTAGCAGAAGTGTGCAATAGCATGTTTTAGATATTTCTGATCCTCGTATTGTGGCACAATGATTCCTCAAGCAGGTTGAATGGTCTCGTGTTACAGCGTAATAGACTAAGGTCAATAAACTGAAATACTGAGTTTCTTTCATGAGTTGTAGGGATATTAACATTTTTTACTTAGGTTTAAAGTTACTTTGCAGCTCAGTAAAAATGAAATTTGTCATACTGCTTTACTTTTTATAACCACAGTTTGTTCAACTTATCGGTGCGATTGTCTGTGATAGTGTCATTATGTTAAAATGCATGATGCTACTGCGGCTGTAACGTGTTCACTCTCCCTCCATGGCATTGCGTCAGAATGGGAAAGATGAATGCGGCACTCTGCTGTGACATAGTTACTTAATGTTTCAAGTAGGTCATGTCCTCCTCTCTCAGGGTAGACATCTTTTGTCGCATTGAGTGACACTGACGCAAGGTTGTGTGCAGCGCGTTTGTATGAAGGCACTCTATGCTTCACAGACTACAGGCGCCATCTACGAGTTGTAGCGTGAATCAACGGCTAGACAACTTTTTGCACTTTTCATTTCTGTTTAAAATCCAACGCGTTACATTTACAAATAACTCTAGCATGTTTGAGTTCAATATTAGTCACCATTCGTAGATATTATATATAGAAAAACTTCAATGTTATCATAATTGCATTTCAGCGGTGTCTCATACTTATTTAAGTGGTAAATTTCCCAAATGGATTCCTTGATCGGTGTAGCATGAAGACTCAAAATTAGAAGGTATTTTACATGTGCAGTATGAGGTATTTCATATGTGCCATGAGCTTTAACTCCAAGTTACAATGATTAATTTGTGCCCAAGCTCTTTGTGTAATTTATTTGTACATAGCATAGATATGCACCTGCTTTTTGTGTTCATATGTATAGTCCTTACAATGTAAATGTGGAGGTATTGTAAATAAACTGCATCCCTTGCACTTCAAAGCATACGATTTCATTGCAATAGTCGCTCTGATTTGATACGACGAACATTGCGTTTTTGTAATATACGCAAAGTGCTTATAAGTGAATATGAATCGTGACAGGCTCTCGCAAGCCCTTCACTTGTCAATTTTGATATATTAATTAACTTCCCATTAAAATAATTAAACATTCACTAAGCGTGACACGGACCAAGGTGGAAGCTATTAGTTAATAGGAAATTTTAGCGAACAGTTACCGTGTTTTGCGTACCGCACTACCGGAGCCTTCGAAGCATGCTTTTAAGCGCACGCCCCGCGCTCACGATGTCACGCGGGCGCGCGCTTAAAACCATGCTTCAAAGGCTCCGGTAATGCTGTAAGCGGAACGCGGTACCGGTTTGCTAAAAGTTCCCATTGAGTTTGTGCCAGATACCCGAAACATATTCATTTAACTCAAAATCAGACAGCCTAAAGCATGATAAGAAAGGTTATAACTTTCAGCGCACAATACCAATTCACACTGAAACAGGCGCTCCAGTAAAAATGAGGCAGTCATTCAGCGCTACCAACTCAGGTTGTATTTGGTCTTACTTTACGCAGTTTGTAAATCTACCACACTTAATTATGTTGCTTGTTTTTTTGTTTTTTTTTTTGCTATATAAAACAACCTTTTCGGATAAGGCTATAAAAGGGTGGCTAACACATTTTTTGGCCAGCTTCACAGTGTTCTCAGCCTCAGAAATTTCTCGCGTGTTCCAGTTATTTTAAGTCTGCTGAGCCTCCGCAGTTCCGGCAATGAATGCCTATAGATATCCAATATTTGCTTTCTTGATGATTTTGTGGGGTCGCATACACAACTTCCAATTTGTCTTGTATATTTTTCGACACACGAGAGGGAAACAGAGGAAACCACTTTGTCTGTGCACGGGATGTAAAGGGTTTGTTTCTTTTTAGTGCAGCCTGTACTGTGATTTTAAGGTGAAGTTGACTTCTTTTGCATAAAACCTAAGAGTTTGTTGGGGGCTGAAAAGAGTACATGGTTAGAACCTACGCACCGTCGTTACCCCGTAAAATGCAGAGCATGACTTTCTTTTTATGTTCACGCTTTCTAATTCGTTCTACGGCGTTCTCAAGCCCGTTCACACTGGCTTCAGAGCGATGATGAGATGCTTGGGCCTGGCCCACACTAAGCTCTCCCGGTAACTATAAAGTGAAAGGATCATGTCAAATTACTGTCCCACCTAGAAACCCTGTAATCCCAACTAAATTTTTTTGAATGTAGAGCTAGGGTCGGTAAGTCTAGCTTAGGTAATACATACACGAAAGAAGGCAATACATGCCGACGCCCAACCTATCCAAAGAGATGTCAGACATCGTCATCAATTAATATTAAATTGTAATACACTTTAAAAAATGATATTCGAAGTTTCTTTGACGCCCCAAGAACTCTTTCAGCTCATGAAGAATGGTCTCGCCTTAAGCACTATCGCCCCCTGGCGCACTAGAAAGGCAACTGAGCAATGTTTTAACTTTTTCGCGTCACAAAAAAATCTTTAAAGAACCCCTTTTACGATTTTCGCGAAAAAACATTTTAAGGGGAGCTTAAAAAGAATTTTAGGGTGCAAAATATGAACGTGCTGAAAAACCCCTAAGTGGAGTGTAGACTGCTGATTATGGAAAGTCTGGCGTTATAAGTAGTTAATGGATTTGCATATGCGGCATAAATCGCAGCTTTTCAAAATGCCCAAGCAAGCAACCCTCAGATAACAAAACACACTGCACTCTGTCTCACTACACAGTTGCGTGCAGCGCTATCAAAGGTGCAGGAGCGAGAACGTAACCGCAACAGTTGAAAGGAACGAAAGGGGAAACCGCTTTTTTACCCGGACCACCGAAATGAATGCTATCGCATTTATTAAAACTGTAGTGATGTAAAGTTTTGTTTCAATGATTCATTACACTGTACCAACCACAAGTAGATACAACACAATGCATTAAAAAGAAACACATTTTATTTGTTTCAATTTATTTTCTCGAATATCTGCGTTACCTATAGTATAACGATGTCTCTACAAAACACGCAAATTATTTTATGTACACGAAAACAAAACAAAATAAAACTAAGCCGCTTAAGTACACATATAGTGCCAACGGATGCGCTTGGGGATACATTTGCAAATCCCACAACCCTCACAAGTAGCTTCCTAAATGGCCAGCCGAGACATATCCAAGAAAAAGGCGAACTGCTTATCCCACCGATAGCCGCACAATTCCATCAAAAATTGAGACAGTAAGGATCCATGGCTTTCATTCGAACAGAGCATTACAACGGTGTTCACCGAACTCAAGCGCAAACAGCGAATAATGTGAACTCGTGCTTTGGTAGGCCGGGCGTTTCCCAGAAACAGTGGAGCCATTCACTTGGGCACATACAACAGCAACCGAGGGTGGTGCATCCAGACTATGCTGATATAGAACTCAAACTGTAAGAAATCTGGAACATCTACTTTCCCGCAGAGTACTTGGAAGGGCCAATCGCTGGCATCTCACGAACGGAGATTGGCGAGCTACGAGGCTGTAAATAGGTTTAGACCCCCAAAGGAGCAGTCTACGGCAGCTGTGGCCCTGGCCACGGTGAAACGTTATTCTCAGCGCCATAACGCAGACTGTTTTGGGGGGTCTAAACTTATTTTCCGCCTTGTCATTCGTCCAGCTACTTCTACGCATTGCAGCAATTGGCTCACCAGAGTTATTTGCGAAAAAAAGAGAAGCCCCGGATTGATTCTATAGCGCAGATACGTGTACCGCACCGAGCGCTATACATTATGATATATCTCAGTTTAGAAAGTTGCCTTCACTGCACGTGAAAACCTGTAGAAGCGGAATATTCCATAGTCTTCATCGGATCAAAATCTACGTTAAAATGAAGCGTAGTTCCTTTATTTAAAGGTGTGCGCGTGACGATCAAACCTCCTGGCCTAAGATACACAAAGAGGCGAGTAACTATTCTCAAAGGCGATTTTGATCCCTACTCTTGCACGAGCAAAAATGAGTGATTCTATACAATGCTTTAACACAGTCATAAAACATCGTCGTGCGTTCCGAAGCATATCGGGCAATTCGAAAGTGTTTTGTAATACGAAGTATGCACAAAATAAATGTAATGTTTTCCTATGAAAAAAAGTAAAAAATACCAGAGAAAAATACAAAAGTCTTAGGAGGAAACAAAGACAAAACGCAAGAATAAGCCGCAAAAAAAAAAAAAAAGCGACACATGACTCTTGACGTTTTGAATTCCTCAATTGTGCCTTTACGGTTATAGTTACTATAGTCACCGAAAACGTAAGAACCGCAGGGCGTGGTGGTTTATAATGATCACTGCTCGGCGTTCTAATCACCCATTGCCTTGATCTCATTGGTTGCGACGTGATAAGACCAGGCTCGGCACTCACCAAGCCCTCCGTTCTTACGTTTTCGGTAACTGTAGCACCCTCGAGTATCCCTGACTGACTCCTATTATTCACAAAAAAAAAAAAAAAAAAAAACTTATTACGACAGACGTATAGATAGATGCCTGTGGTAGCACACACTGAGCGTTCTTCTCTTTATACAAGATACAACAAAACACGCCGACTCCCGTTCAACGATCACAACGGCGTCGCAGCTTCGTCTTCTGAAAGGGCCTTGTTTGGGGACCCCGTGACGCCGTTGGCCGCCGTTTTCCGTCGGTCTGAGATCGGGGACTCGCCGAGTGCTCGCACCGCTTTTAGTTCGGGCGTCGTCGTCGCTTCGATGTTGGTGGCGTCCCTCGCCGACGACACAAGGGCGAGCTCTTTGTCGTCGCTCGCCACGAACGCAGGATTCACTTTTCCATTGCTCGAATTCGGCGTGAACTCGGGAGACCCGGATCTTCCGAGCGTAATCATCTGCTCTTTGTCGTACTCTTCCTAAAAGTCGAAAAAAAAAGATGACGGGGGTAATTAAAGGCCATTCATTTTACACAGAAATACTTTACTCTAATCACTCAAAGCTTAAGAAACTTAAGAAATACCCTGCGTTTCTTAAATTGTCGTTGACTATAGGAAATGATATTCTACTCTGCTCATTTGCATTACTAGAAAGAGCGCCTACGGCGCCAAATCCTCCCCTAGCGGTGGGGACTTCCCGAGTCCCAGGGAAACGCAGGCGCATCGCGTTGTCCACGACGATAGATGGCGGCAGCCAACTCTCCTAATTCCAATGGGAAAACTCCGGGGCTCCGCGCGTCCAGCCATTCCAACTACGCAAAAGCTGTCGGCGCCAAAGCCATCATTGAAATCTTTTGAGGGTAAGATGTATTTCCTAGTAAAGTATTTGATATGGACTTCAAGAAAAGAGTCTACGAGTCGAAAAATGAAAGGATCCCGGCGAACGACGATTCTCAGAATAAGTTTTGTTGAGTGTGTGTTTAGGCAGCGCCGACACACACAAAATGCGTTGTACTCGCGCAGTTTTTGAAATGACCAGAGGTGAACACGTACTATGGACTTGACCAAAAACTTGTCGTGCAGTGTCTTTGGAAGAAACCTCTTGCAGAGGAAGTTATAGAGGGGATTGACGGTCCTTGGATTGACATCAGACGGTTTCTTGTAACCTGCAATGGTTCACGTCAATCACGGTTGTTACAGAAGGTTCTCTGGGCATTAGTGCTTTCCTTGTCTGAAACCGGAAACTGGTGTACATCACTTAGGAAACGAGATTCACTAATAGAATTTCTGGTTTTACTACTAAATAATGCAGTCTAAGAACTTTAGAGCATGTACTTTCTCGCAAAACACATAACCTGTTTGGCCTGTGCATACTCTGCCACATGATAAAAGAATCTTGCATACCACGAGTGCAGCGAAGGTGTGATATACAAGATTAATTTATCATGTTGCGCAGTATCCATAGGCCAATCGGGTTAAATGGCAGGCTCAGAGAACATGCACTGTCAACAAGATCGTCACCCTCGGGAAATCTGGCAGTGCACTGTCACAGATGTGGGCGTGTCACGAAGTTTGCCAACACCATTATGTTATGCAGAAACCGAAACGAAACGAAAAGGGAGATATCCGAAGCGTCATTCGTAACAGAGTGCGTTGAAGCCACGTGGGTCAGCGCTCCATCGATAGCCCTGTTTGGATCCAAGGTGGCGTTTTTAAAATCTTTCGTAAAGTAAATAGCAGATAGATAAGAATTGGTTTGATGATGTCGGGTTTCTGTCATCACATGTCTGCATTTCATGGCGTGCTATACAGTATATGTTTTTCCATGGGTAAACTTTAGTTTGAAGTAGCGCTTTGTGATGTTAGTCTCTTTCACTTGTTCGGTTTTTTTTTAGTTTTTTTTTTAGCGCTTTTACTTTTTGAAAGCTTACGTGAAACGTGACGTCACGCGTGGAATGAAAGTGATTAAGTCATGAAATGTAAGGCGAATTAAAGGTCACCGCGCAGGTATCAAATGATGAAAAAATCTGAAGAATTTTAGGCGGAGGATGCGAGCCAGACACACTGTACCTACTATAGCCACGCAGACACGCTTGCACGGCTTAGGAACGAGCGGGGACTTATATGTTTCGCTATCGCTTTGCACTCTTATTAAAGACGAGGCTTAAGCGTCCTCCTGTAATTTTCGTATGTAGGTGAGCGCACTCAGCACGGCGAACGCTGCGACGCAATCGACCAGATGAAGTCCTCCTAGCGCGCGTCCGAGTAGCCTCAACCGACAGCGTCTCCGCCGTCCAGACGGAGCGACCAAGAAAAAAAGAAACACACAAAACAAAAACAAAAAAGTGTCTCGTTTTCATGGCGCTTCGGCACACATGCACTGTTTCGGCTATGAGCGTCTGCTCTGACCTTGACGGACGCTAGAAGCACACCGCGCCAGAGATCTCTCCCCTTGAACGCGTTCATAAAACGGTTGTTGCCGCCGTTGATGCACGAAACTAGGGTCAATAACGAAGCACCCTAAGCAACGCACGTAGCGCCAGTACCAGGCTCTACAAGACGCGGGCACATCCAGAAAACTTAAAAAAAAAAAAAAAAAAAAAAAAAAAAAAAAACTGGCATGTCTCCCTTAAGCCGGGGTCACATTACTTAGACAACACAAAAGACAGTCTCCATGCAAATTAGAACGCGAGGCACCGCGAGATCCGTGCTTTGAATGCGGCAATGAGTTCAAGGAGAAAAATTGGAACGCGGCATTCGAACCCCGGATATTGCGGTAATTCGTATTTGCAAACTGTCGTTTGTATAATGTATGAGCAGTGTGATCCCGGCTTTAGGAATGCATGGGAACCCGAGCCCGCGACAGGCTGCCATTAGCCGCATATCGAGGAGCCATCTGGTGGCGCTGCTTGCAACCAAGGCGAGGACAGGACTTTATCTGGCACCTGCGACGCGCGCGTCCACGCCTATATATATCTTACATCGTGGTCTAGAGTACCGGTACTCCATTCAAACGTTTCTTTTGTGGGTGCCGCCATTCTGGTGCGTGGAGCAGAACGGGCAGAATCGGCAAGAGCTGCGATTCAAAATTTTGATTTCCTGATATCGCGATAGGGTGTCAGGAAGCTCAGGCGACATCGTTCTGATTTGTCGCCGATTGTTGTAACAATTCTGGGGTACGAAAACCCGCTTCTTGTGATTTCAAATAGAGCTACGGAAAACTGGCAACAATTATTTTGAACACCAAGTTAGCTTTCTAGGCTATAGGCGGCGCAAGCTACTGCCCGTTACCAAGGGTACAGCTACTAGCATCCATCCACCCATCCATCCACGGCTGAAGTAGCGATGTTCTGAAACGTGTCTTATTTAGTGGTTCTACAATTGTGAATGCTAAACAAATATATATATATATATATATATATATATGGCACTTCTAGAAGAAAAAAAATTAAAAGGGCAAGTGCGAAACTCTGATCGGCACGCAAGGAGCGCGAGTACCGAATTTAGTGCCGCACACCTTTGCGTACACAAGGGCGCATCGTGAAGCTACAGGTAAGCCCAAAAAACTTATCGCAAACACGTAAACCAACTACGGCCAAAAGAAACGCAAGGAAAAAAAAACTGCTTTAATAACAGGCAGGTCAATAGAGACTTTCAGTAAATCGTGCGCTAGAGCTCTGCTTCGCTAGCGGATAGGCAGTGCTGCCGTCTCCTGCCCCAAAATTCATATCAGTTCTGCACTACCTCTTTACAGGTACAAGAAATGAAATACAAATTCAGCTGGTAAATACCGATCACGTTTTTAAATTTAGTTCACCCTGCTCTTTCTTTAGGGTTTGGCCCAACGCAAAATTCTCGCCGCAGAAATTGTCTCTAGAAATTAGCATTTCTAGAGACAATTAGCAATTTTTCAGAAATGCTCCGTAACATCGCAGGAACGAGAAAGTGGATTTTTACATTCCTCGTCTGCACATTTACAATTTTCTCTCCTCCCCCGAGTGATGCTGCGGAAGAGGAGGTAAAGCATGACGTGCCCAGCTGATGCCTCCATTATTGTTGATGGTATCACGAGGCAAAAACGTGACGAGCACAACTCTCAGTCCTCGGGGGCAATTTGTAGCTCCAACGTTTTGCACGGAAGTTTGGTGTTCTCTCATTGGTCAGAAACAATTATCATTATTTTTAATAAACCATCGATATATTATTAGTACATGAATTCTCGGATTAAATTTACCTCACAATTTCATGCAAAATTACCAAAGAACGTCACGCTTAATTTGAAGGGTTTAGCAGGGCTTCAAAAAGGTAAGAAAAATGTTGAAAAAAACAACAACAACAACATGACGCCGCCTAAAAGAATTCCTCACCAGTGATGAAGCTCACGATGATCCCGATGAAGACAACCAGCATACATCCTATCATGCTGTACCAGACGTAGGATATTTTATAAATCCACATGATGTCTTGGCTGCAGATAGAATCAAAAGGGCAATCAGCTTATCAAAAAATGCAAATAAGGACTTTTTTGTCATATACATAAGCAATTGGATCTTCCCCGTACAAGCCTCCTTACACCGATTTCTTTTTTTCTTAGATGGCGAGATTTAGCTCAGCGTGCGCTGAGGATGGCGCTCGGGATGCCCGCGATGATAGATGGCGGCAGCTACCCTTCCCTATTTAAAGACGAAAACCCCGACACTGTTGCGCATTCCGCCGTTTCAACTACGCAAAACCTGTTCTCGCCAAGATCACTGGACTCGAGTAATGTGATATGTATTCCCCTAATAAAGTATGTGGTTGTCTGTCGGCCTTTAAAAAAAGACCGAGGCCACGCTTACTGGAATTGGGAACTTTCGGAAACGGAAAAAGAAAGAGGGCGGAATTTGGCTTACTTTGCCAGATCTACGTCCACAGGAACAGGGAGGGTGACGTTGCCACGTTGTCCAGTCACGTTAAGGTATAGTGGTAGGCAGCCGAGGACGGAAACGGGCGGCTTGCGAACGGCTGGCTTGAAGTAGAAGGAGCCGAAGCCAATCCAGAAACAAGTAATCAGCGAGCCAATGGTGCCGACGCCTGCACCCTGAAAGTAATGAAATCGCGCATTTTATCGCGCTTTTTAATTAGATGTTCTGGAGAAAAATAATTTACAAAGCTATATCACATACGAATATCAAACTTGCTGCATGCCATTATATGCGTACTTGAATGTCTTAGGCGCGGTTTATGTTACAAAGCGCGCTTTCGCACATTCCGACAAAGCATGCAAATTTCAGCTTACAGCTTATATTTCAGTGGGTTCAGAATTTGAAAAAAAGTAACTTCTGTTAGGGTTTGCTTAGGCATGGCCTAATTAAGTTGGCGGCCATGGAAGCCACTAGAAAAGAAGCCAAACTAGTTACCGTAATCAGTTTGCTAATTCAAAAGTCTTCACTAAATTTTTAAGGTTTAAATTTTGAGGATGTAATGTAGTCGGAGAATAAACACTTGACCTAGTTATGGTCTAGGCGTGACGTGAAACGTGGATTAAAAATTCAAGAAATGTCAGCCTTGTACACGGCTTCAAACCAAAACTAAACGAGCGAAAAGCGCTCGCCCTTACATGTCTGTCATATCACGCCCTTACATGTCTGTCATATCACGGCCGGACTGGAAGTGCGCTCTCTCTTTCTCTTTTTACGGCCTTTGCAATCGCCCGGGAGTCAATGGCATTTTTTTTCCGTATGTAGTTCACTTGCTTGCCGCCAGGGGCGCATCCACCTCACCCCACTTCACCTCACTCGGAGAGTACCTTTGAGCTGCTTTGCTCTGGTGTTTGAGCTTCGTAGGTTGTTGTTTTGTCAACGGTTTATTGAACTTTGCTTCGATTTAAGTCACTCTACCGACAGGCGGTGCCGTCAGCAAACGGCGTTCCCCCGTGACAAAAAGTCAGCTGGATATGTGCACAAGCCCTCGAGGAAGCACTTTAGGCTGTAATATGCACTGTGCGAAAATTCTATAGACTGCTACACCCTCGTCTAGAGCAGCTGACCGACTTCATGTGCGGCCTATGAAACGATGATGCAGACCACGGCAATAGATAGATTGGGCCTGCTTACATTTCACGAGGGTGTACGAATTATTCATCATTTAGAGTTTCTCCACGTAGAAGGGGTTCGTCTGCTCCTGTTCTTGAGTTGCAACGGAAGACCTGGAGGTAAAGACGATTATAGTTTTTCCGCAATTGCATTCGCTGTCTCTACTTACTACTTTTTACTCCCGAATCTTTCGGGGATGTGCGTCAAATATCCACCGTTTTGGGCTCATCAGAGGCGCATTAGATAGTTGCTGAGGGTCTAAACGTAAGGATCAGGTGTCAAAAACTATAAAAATCTCGGCCGTAAGTTGCGACAGCGCTGAGATACACTGTCAGGCGCGCTCTGTGCAAACGGCAAAGGGTAGCCCAGGGGTGAGGTGACAGCGCACCCCGCGAAGAGAAAGAGAGCGCGCGCTTCCAGTGCGGCCGTGGTCATATATATACATAAAATGTATGTAAAATGTATGTATGTGAATGACCGTAATAATCAAATGGTACAATTCTTACAAAGCCGCCGGAAAACAAAAAATCCGGCGGCACCGGGATTTTGTCTTTCGGAGGCTTCGAAACAATCATTTCAATTGACCATGCGGTTTATTCATTGGCATATTGTGTTCTGATATTTCATCTTTAGAGACCACGTAAGATGATGAAAATTCCCCATTATGTATCTGCTATATACTCACAATGCTGTTCGCAAAAGGGAAGAATATTCCAAGGGTGAAGACGCCCAGAAGGGGTCCTCCGACGATCCCAAATATTGACAACGCTGCCTGAAAAAAACAAAAACAAAAAAAAAAAACAAATGGTGTTGCATTTTTAACAATAAACTTGACAAAGCGCTTCACTGAATTTCGCGCATTTAGCCACGGAAACTGAAGCGTGCTTCGTAAGGACTGTACCATAAAAACGCCTGTCTTTTGTCAGATTAAAGCGTTTACTACGAAATAAAGCTTACAGTTTGAGTTTCCAGAGTGCAGGCTGTCTGGTGCAAGTTTTACGCACGTGCCTTCCACTTCACCATTAGTATAATGATTTACGGAATGCAGCATTTGAAGAGCAGTTTTCACTTGTAACCGTGAGCGAATAAAAAAAGAAGTTGAAATGGTTTTGCATGTGGGAGAAGACAAAAGGACGCTTCACTGTCGTTCACTGGGCTATCGGGGTCACACATATCATTATTGATTTTACACTGATCATGAAGTAGATAATAAACCATACCCAACTTTGTCCGCGAAAACTGAAGATAACTCTTTGAAGCTCCAGTGACAAAAATATTTTTTGAAGCTGTATACTCTTACGTTTACCTTCCCAACTACACTTCATTTAAGTCCAGGCGCAGCAGACGATACCAGTTAATGTCATGCATCAATTAAGATGAAACAAAGTATAGCTGGGTAATATGTCTCTCTCAGTCTTTAGTTTTTATATGCAAAAAGCGAAAGCAGACGCACTGGCATTACAGGAATGGGTAAAGCATGTCACCGTACGGCAGGAAATACCTCCTGAATAAAGATTACGTACCTGCAGTACGTTGCCCAAGTTTTGTGCAATGATTACAAGTATGATGGCGATGAATCCGTACGACATTGCTGACGAAAAGAAAAAATAATAAAGAAGGAATATTAGTTTTTTCAGTCTCACTAAAAATAAGAAGTAGGTCAATACTTGCATACCTAGGCCCTTCGTCAAGTTTGTAGCGAAGCGATCCGACATGTCGCTCTTGATGTGTCTCTTTATGACGTCTTCCAGCGTGACGGCGGCTAGAGAATTCACGCCCGAAGATACGGTACTAGAAAAGAAATCGAAAATACAATATTTAAAAAGACTCCGTCAGAACACTTTTTTTTTTTTTTTATGGTGAACGATTACGAGTTAGAAGGCAGATGGAATATCTGGCCCGACTGACCGTTCAGTATAGTTTTGTAGCGCGCGCTCTTGAGAAATATAGTTTTGTTGTTGCTGTTGTTGTTATATTTGCATAAAAAGGAAATGTCGCCTTGAAGCAACATATTTCTCTATGGTTTCGCATGGAGGAAACGATTTCATTAGTCTTGAACATTCTTTTTTTTTTTTAACAGTGTAGGGAAAAGCCGACACAAGACAAGTAATAGCGAGTTCGTTTCACACGCACTGGCACCGTTGGAGTTCTCTCCCAGAATGCATCGCACTCACTGAGTGTTGCACGGAAAACTGGACTCAAACGAACTCGCCAAATGCACCGAGTGCAGAAGACTGATGCTGTCGCCATCTATGTTGTAGAAAAGGTACCGACTTCAAACCGAAACTAGTGCCTTTCTGTTCCGAGTGATGCGTGGGAATGCGAGAATGCAGTCGCTACCAACGTTTATCTACAAACGTTAACAACTGCAACCTGTAGTTTATAGTTGCGATGTCTTCAAGCAGCTCGGCTGCCGCAGAGATAATTACAGACGGCGTAAATTTCCGCAACCAGCTGTCTACAAAGCAGCTGATTGCGATCTTTCAATCCTTATAACCGTTTACACTGAAGAAAACTGATGATGCTGTCCGAGCAGAAGCTTGATCCGTTTGAGCATGGTATTATGCGTGAACCACAGAAAGGGTACGGCTTAAAACTAGCCTGTTGGAATATCCAGCAAAACTAGGACTTTCGATTTGGATCGTCATAATAGGTGGATTATATATTAGCCTTGGTGAGGGCGTCGAGAACGAGAGCTTCCTCGAACAAAATACGACGGGGCAAGTTAGCTGCGTAGGTAAATGTTGAACATGATGATGTTGCCCAATCCTCGGGTAAAGTCACCATCTTTAGTTTTCTCTGATGCTTATTGGGCAGTCAGAGGTTTCTGCTGGGGGAGTTTTATCGACAAATGCTAAATTTTTCACCCGCACACGGATGGTGATCGACATCTCGGGGGTTGCTGTTGCGTTTGTTCTGAGCATTTCCTTACACACTGGTATATTACAGCGTTTGTACGGCAACAGAGCGATTTAAAACCTGCAAATAAATCACGGGTTGTCAATTGCTTCCTCCGTGAAATAGCAGGCGCTCACAATTCAAGCTCGCGTTGGATTTCGTTTCCCGCGGGACGCGATTTCTATAAGAAAATCTACTTTTTTTCCGTTCGGTTCCGCGACACATCGCAGCAGACGAACCCTCGCCGTCTGCTCACGCTCCTCGCCGGCCCCGCCGGAGCGAGGCATGACGGGATTGCATTTTGGCGCACTCCCGATTTTCTCGGTGCAGCGAGTGCACGCACGCGTGGGGTGTCAGCGCTGAAACGAACTCGGAGAGTGCAACCACTCGTGGAGCGCCGGCCGAAACGAACCCGTTCCACGCTGCGAGTGGGCACGCGTGCGCACGCGTGGGCACGAGTGCCGTGAAACGAACTCGCTATAAGTGAAAGATGGGGCTCGAGACAACTTGGAGCTCGAGGGAAAGCTTTGAAACCACGCTCGTGTCGGCTGGTTCAGATGACAGACTAGACCTTTTAGGATGTAGTATGTATATAGTAAATATTAAGTAGTTATCATACTACAATACTTCCAAATGTTTTAAGCCAAAACAAAAAGAAGGAGAGCTTGCCAATCTTTTACAGCGGAGCTGTTAAGGGCTAGTTTCCCCAGTTTCGTATCCATGGAAAAAAATAAATCCTGACACAACCCTCTGGACAGCTACCGTCATCTATGAGCGATGGCGGCAACCAGACAACCAGCTTCCTGGTTGTCTGGTTGCCACCGTCGTTCATAGATGGCGGCACTTAATACAGCTCCGCTGCTCTTCCTTCTTCACCAGAGTGGAAAGGCTGAAAGTTACTTCCGCCCTGGTTGTTTTGTAGCGTAAGCTACACTGGCCGAGGTTGAGCAGTTTCGCGCGGCTCCTAGAGAGCCATGCTGCGCATGCGCGAGGAGCAGTGAGGTCACACGTGTCAGTCCCTGATGCACGCGCCGCGCGCATGCACCCGCTTGAGATCATGGCTCGCGCTGTCCGGTTGTTCTGGGCGGTAGCTTGGTTGCTTGATACATAACAACACGGCGCACAGCTCATCGCATCCCGAAGTAGTCACATAACGCGTACACCGTGTGTGTGTCATTGAAGCAGCAGTAAGCATGATAATCAAGCTAATTCTAGACAACCAGGAAAGCCAAGAATAAACAGCTGAACCTAAGCTTACGCTAGGTACATCCTGGCATAGCCAAGCTAAGCCACTGTTTCCTTTTTTGTTGCCTTTTCGGCCGCTACGTCTGAAGAACCGAAACCCTCAAGTCAAACAACCTCTGCAAGCTCTGACTTTATGCCATATTGTTGCTGCAAGCTGCCAGCTCTGATTCGATTGCTATGCCGAAGTTTGAAATTCGCCACAAATAGAAGCTCCCCCTAAGCACGGGACTTAGCACCAAAGTTGTCCACCCATTCAGTTTTCTAACTTCCACTGACACGAATAAAAGACATTGCGTCGTTCCCATATTACATTAAGTACAATGTACTTCGCCCCTAAAAAAATATATATATATATTTAGTATTTTTAATTACATGACTCACCTTAAAGCACCGCTGAAGATGCCAGAAACGAACAATCCTGGGATCCCGGGAAATAGTCCAAGAATATCCATTACGTACAAAGGCAGAAGCTGCGTTTACCAGAATACAAACGTATGAGCTTCTGGGGATTACCCCCAAACATTACGCTTTATGTGCCTGACGACTCATCACCGATTCTTTTTTTTTTTTTATGATTTTAGACAATTGTTGACACCATGAAAAAAAAAAAGTTTGTGGCACTGAGCTGCTTGAAATTCTTTAGCATATGCGGCAGGTGAGAGCAGAGCTCAATGAACTTGAACCATATTTAGAAGACATGCCGGACTACCTTGTGCTACCGTTTCATTTTTGGTGACTAAGTAATAGAGCCGTCGACTCTCCCAGGAACTGAACTCGAACAGAAGGCTTATGTCTGCCACTGGTACGTTTACGTAAAGCTTGTCCTAACTTCGTTGTACTTAGTCATGTAGGCCAGATTCATATCCCTGTCATGACCCAATTGGACAACGGAGGTTTTTAAAAAGTTGTGATGATAGTTTTGCAGACAGCCTTGAGTCCTCTTAAAGTATATTGAATAGGAATTCCTTAGAATGTGAAAAATAACAAGCAGAATTAAAAAAAAAATACAATTGAAATTACGAGTAAATATAAAAAAATCACCATTGGTTGGCGGCATAAGTTACGTCATTGTTTAAGAAATCTTGCTCAGTTTGACCAAAACACCTATCTCTCCAAGAAATCGGAACAAAAAAGTCTAAGGAAATTCGCCTCAGTTAACGCGCTTTGTTCGCGGAACACTCCGAGTTCAGCGCATGGGGTTCACTACTTGACCGTCACGCGATACGTGGACACAAATCACCATGACGGGAAACACAGAAACCGGTGGCACCGATCAAAGAAAACCCACCTGATCACTTGAGCTGACTTTCTTCGTGAGCAGGGGATCGCAGTCGTAATACTTGGCATACATAACGAGCCCGGCCAAAGCGCATATAATTAACAGGAACGAAAGGCCAGGCAGGTTGAACCAGATTGCCCTGGGAGGAAACATCGAGTAGGAAGTTAAACCTATAGAAATGCAAGCTTTTTTATATGCATGTGTGTATGTGTGTTAAAATCAGGTGAAGCTGCGTTCAAAGAAAATCCGATATACACTTTTATCGGATGCTTAACATCCCAAACCATTCATTTATCCCGCATGAAATAAGTTATTTGGTACCATAAAAAAATATTAATTACAGAACAAAAGTAATGATATACGAGGTATGAAATTAATTTTATTTATTTATTTTACCTCCAAGGGCATCTCGCGATTCATTGCATGAGGGGGGGGGGGGGGGGAGCAAGAATGTAGGAGAAGTCGTGATCTACACATGAATGTGTATATCACGACTAACTCAATCACCCGAAAAACTACGACATCTTAAAAATCGCGTAAACGACGTTTTTTTTGTTTTTGTTTCGAGGTAAATGCATAAAGCTTCTCCCGCAGGTGCTTCCGACCTGACTTTTCTGAGGTAGAATCTTTCAATTCACGAATTGCCCCAAAATCACGATGCTGTGATTAAAGTTTGCTCACTTACTGTCTGGCTCCTCTGAGGTTCGGGAGGGTCAGGTACCGCTGAACCATGGCTTGACTCACAGCGTAAATAGACATCCACGTAAAGTAGCAACCGATGATTAGACCCCAGACTGTGTGGCGGTCCGTGGGGTCTGGATTAAAACTGTATAAATGTAAAAAAAGTAGGCCACTGAGTGACACTTTCCGGTTGGTATAACGTGTTATGACTAAAACTGCGCGGCTCTATTAAAATATTAGCTTTCAATAAGCCCCTTTTGTAACATTTCTTTTTAAAGTGTTCGATACTCCAAAACCCTTCCTGTTTGCGAGCCCTTAATTTTCGCGAATAGTAAAATTAGCGAACTTCAGTGGGCGCAAATATTTCTAGAGGCGAATTCCAACCTTTAGAAATCGCGAAATGTAATGGTCGTAAATACAACACCGCTGCCTAATTCGCGAAATATCAGGGCCGCGAAAATAAGGGGTTTCACTGGAATTTCGAGATGGGCGAACTTCATTGTCAAGCGTACACTTTATAAACTTTGGAACGCCTATACTTTTCTACCAGGCACTTGGGTGAGTCAATCGCTGCATTCCACGGAGGGAACTCGGGGGATCAATGCGGAAAGCAAGCCGGCTGCTTCTTCGCAGGAGTTGCGGTGACGTCACAAAAACGCCAAGTTCTGATTGGCTCCGATTGAAAGATAGTGGGTAGACATCAAAGCAAGCTGCCTTGAGGTCTACTTACTTTCTTTCTATCAGAGTCAATCAAAGCTCCGCGTTCTGACGTCACCACAATCCCTGCAAAAGAAGCAGACGAACTGGCGCTCCGCATTGACTTCGTTCTCGCGACGATGCACCTTACGGTTCTGTCTGCGACGAATGTCCAGACGCGTCAGCGTCGCCGCCAGCGCGTATTTCAGCGTCTCAAAACAAGCGCGACGTGGCGACGCCAAGATACCCGCGTCTGCCGTTTTGCGTCGTACTGTCGTTGAGTTTCAGAGCGTTCCGACACTTGGGGCTGATCAGAGATCCACAAACCATGAGGAAATGCGTAGGCATTTCTTCTATATGGTAAGCATGATACGACTAAATCTTTTTAATTGGGCGGCAGCTTGCGCCACCTAGCCGAAGCTTTTTATTTCAACAATTAACTCGCGTTAAGTTTGGAATTAATTCGTAATGACGTAGACTTTTATATTGCAACGCCACAGCAACCGTGGCCATCATAGCGAGCACTACTCGAGACTCGTATACTCACGTTTGTTCTACAAACCCGTATAATAAAATAAAGCGGATTGGCAACGCTGTGGAGTAGCTTTGCGGTAACTCGCCCGCTTTAGGGGCAGAGGACCCAGGTTCGATTGACGAGAGCGATCTTTCAGAGCGATAGCTGTTATGGGATCTTCCTGCCACTGGAAACGACGTCCATCTTTGATGCTGTTGTTGGCGTAGTAGGGTGTCCTACGCCGATGTTGACATATCCTTGAAAAAGGTCGCGTGCCGCCCGCGGGAATGGAACCTGGGTCCGCTGCGTGCGAAGTGAGGGCGTTACCACAAAGTCACGCCACAGCGTTAGCAATCCGTTTTATACTTGGCGTTCTCGTACTACTCGATGCCCACTGCACGTAATCTCTAAAAAGCAAAAAAAGAAAAAAGGCCGATAGCAAAATGTTGTTGTAGCACCTACAAGTTTCAACGCCAAGAGCTTGAGCCGGCAGACGCGCTTACACGCGCTTCGCAACAAAAAGGAAACCAAAGCGTTCGGAACAAAATGGGTCAGATATAGGTTTTGTTCCGAACGCTTCTGTTCACGCACGCCAGGGTGCGTGAACGCGACGCCGGCGCCCGAAGACTTCGCCGTGACTGTGGATTACCACAGGACTGTTCGATTTCTTTCGGGCAATTGGCAATATTGCGAAGGACGCCCTCTGCCCTGGTACCATCAACAGCAGTATAGTAGTAGTATATTTCTACTACAATTACAACGAACGTCATTTTTAGTGGTGGAAAGTGCCCATAACAGCTATCGCTATGAAACAGTCGGCGCTGGGCACGTTGAAAAGTCACACTCATTGTCACAACACAGGCTGTATTTTTAAACCCTAACATTTTTTGTCATCCCTGTCATTCTGCAAGCTCTTTCCGTATATACAAAGTGGGCGAAATGATTTGAGCGTACTTTAAACTCGCCGTGAAAATGGGTTTCTTAACTTATCGCGCCGGGATTTACTACAGAAGTGATCGAAGCTGGTGCATTCATTATTTGAGAGTACGATTACATGAAACCTTCGGAGTCGAAAGATAGATAATTAAAACTGGTTCTGTGTATGGAAAAATTATCACTAAACTTTTTATCTCGAAATCATAAGAAAACCGTTGTGGACTATTCTGGCGTTTACTACGATTGAAACATTTCTGAAATGGAAAGAAAATAAATTTGGCTTAGATATTCTTTACTATATTTGACTCCAAAAGGCGCCACAGTAAGTCTTTTTTGTGTGTGTGTGTGTACATGCAAAGTATAGGGAAAGCATAGTTTTTTATTTGTTTTGATTTAATCAGGTCAGACAATTTTCTACAATTTTTGTGAAAGCTTCCGCCAACTTCAGGAACCTCTGTAGTAAATAACAGCGCGATAAGTTAAGCAACCTATTTTTGCGGTCAGTTTGAAGTGCGTTATATCCATTTCGCCCACGCTGTGAATGAGAGCGATCGATTCTCCAGAGGGCATTGCGGGAAAGTAGATGTTCCAGACCGCATGCTTAGAGCGCAGTGCAGTGTTGGAATCCTCTACAACGGACCTATCTCAGTAAGCGTTCGGGTTCAGTTCGGGCGCATGCATGACACCGCCATAACTTTAGTTCGCAGGAGGCCGGCGGGTGTGCACAAGAGGGCACGTGCCGTCTCGTGCTCTACGCGCGCAAAGCAGCACCGGAGTTGTCGCACACGCAGAAAGGCTTAAGTTTTCCCGATGTATTGTGGCAGCGGTGGTGTAGTCAAACTGCCTGGTGAAGTCGGTCTGTACTTTGTAGCAGGATCATTCCATCTCAAAGGTCTCAGACGTTGCGCACGACCATTTCCGATTTTTAAAAGAAAATTCATAATTCTTTAAATGAAGGTCCTTACCCCTTTCCTAAAATATTTGCACCTTTTTTTTTTTTTTCTTTTGAATGGCGTGAGCGTGTTTGAATTTCTGAAGTGGGTTAAAAAACTAGGTATTATTCAATAGTTGAGTAAAAACCTGATTTTCTCTGAAACGTTTCACAATTTGTGTTATAAAAAAATCGAATGGCTTTTAGCTTGCTATGTTGTGATAACTATGAAAACTTTATTTTAATTATTTTTAATTCAACAAGATCCACAAATATCATCACATTTCTCAGTTTTTTTATTTCATTATCGCTGTGCGCCTGGAAATGAAAACTTTTTTTGATGGAAGCCTCATAGATGTATTACAAGTGAAAAAAAATTAAGGCTGTGCAACAAAATACTTCACACACACACACAAAAAAATTCGAATGATGTAAAAAGGTTTTTGTTGCCAAAATAGACGTCTATTCTTCCCTGAGGTGGTCCAAGTAAAAATACTAAACATAACGGCTTTATAAAAAGAGTGTATTGCCTTTTATTTCTAGAAATTCATTCAAAATGATTTTTGTATAAAGTGAGAGAACAAAAATACTGAAGCTGAGCTCCCGCGTCGCAACTCGGAGTGGTTTCTTAGCTCCTCTTCACCGCGCAGCACGCTCCTGTCGACATTGTAGCCGGACGAAGCGCACGGTTGTTTGTCTTGAGTGGAGCGTCCACCGCAGGTACACGCAGAAGAGTGGTGTTGTCGTATAGGTATTCATGGGACAAGGATGGCTTCTGCTTCCGTGGCCTTCCAATCACTGGAATTGCAACCGTCGTCTGCGACGGACTCCTCTAGCAATCTAGCGCGGCTTGTCATATCTGCCGGTTTTTTTAGCTTTGCCGGGGCAGCATATCCACCAGCAGGTCAGTTGTTTCGCACCGCAATTTGTCCCTCTTTCCAGTGTCGGGACACACGTAAGCAGCAGCATAAAAGCCTCCTGAGTAGGCAACGTGAAAACCACCCGAACTATATGGTGATGAACAGATCGCAGTAGCACCATGTTGTTGGTCATGCGGCTGTCGAAGGCTCACACAGTTTTCTTTGTTTTTTTCTTCTGCTAATGTGATTTTCATTTGTAAAATTTCTGAACTAGGACAAAAGCCTAAAATCGATTTTAAAACTGCAAATTTTCGTGTCTCTGCATAGGACGTAAATCCAGCACGTCGCGTTAAAGGTGATGCTGGCTTGGAGTGATAAAAACTCCGTGTTGGGGACCGTTGACGGGGGCCTTTGAGCTGAATCATGTAGTTAGTTGGGTTAGTTTTTCTTCGACCATTTATTTTGGAACCCAGTGAATTGTTATACCCAAAATGCTATTTTTAGTTCGAGTGAACAGCTGATAGGGCGTCATGATTTGATTCTGAAAGGGACTCTAAAGACTGGCTCCTGCTGCCTAAACGCTTCACCGTTTCCCTGCTCCGTCGCAAGCACTCTTCCCGTGGGATGTAACAAAAAAAAAATTCACTCAGCGGAGATGTCGTTATCGTTGCAACTGAACAGAGCCGGTGAAACATTAGGATGAGTAAACACGAGACAATCATCATCCTAGTTTAGAAAACTAAATAATAAGAGTGCCCTACTTGCACTCATCAGCTTCTGTACAAACCGCAGAATGACTTTCCTGTTCCGAAAGACCTGCTTCATTCATCGTTCTAGCATCGTACTCTGACGAAACATGAACTTTTTTCTTGGGCGGATTCCTGATCGCACTAGTCAGTAATAAGGTCACTCAAAACAACACCCCTCGTTTTTCTGTCCTTTCTTACAGCCGTTTCTTTCCTTTCAAAACCGTTTCACCTTACGATGATGCGCAGCGGACGCTACGCGGCACTGTAGCCAATTCTATGCCGTATTAGGGTCACGTGACCTTCGAGAGGTGCGCAGCGACGCCCAGTGCGCGGGTGATGTGATACGTGAACAACGCTGGATTGACTGGGATTGTTCGTAGCGTCCACCGCAGTCCATGGTAAGGGGAAACAGAGTATAGTAGGGATCTCGCTCTATCGTCATCACGACTCCTGAATACAAGTCCCTCTCAGGAGATGCCGACGTCGATTGGGCATCAAGTTTCGGAATAAGGAGAGCTGACATCGTGTACAAAGGGCGCACCGAGCCTGCTGTGCAGTGGCGGCACGCACGATTATCACACGATAACAGCCGTTGTTTGCATTATTAACCGAAAAGTACGAGTGGAAGCATGTATCAGCCTTTTTTTACTAGGGCGCAGCCATCTTGAATGTCGTCACTTCTGGTGTGTGCGGTAAAACACCGTTTCGATCTCTCCACGCCGCTGGAAGGTGCTTACGAAAAATGCGTCATAGCCACGCATTCTTGTTTGGCCTCACCTATATATTCTCGCATATTCGAGGTCGAAATGTTTTAATGCCTTTTTCGTTCCGCATACCAGATACGGAGCCCACGTGACTGAGAACGTCAGGAAGCAGAAAACGTCTATAATGCGCATGCGCAGAACTCTCTGTGGAAATCACATTCCCGACCGGAAATTGCCTTGCGTGCGCGCAAACCTTCTGAACTCTCGTGTTAGCTCTCGTGTCGTGTCAGGTGGCGTGTTGTGCGGTGAAGTGGCGCTAAGAAACAATGCCAGGTTGTGACGCGGGAGCTCAACTTCAATATTGTAATGCGAAAGCATTAACTGTCCGATGGAGCGAAGCTACGTCATTAGCTTTTTTAGCTGCGCCAGACGGCTACTTCCCCTGTCACAATGTCGTCTGTGACCGAAATCTGAGGCATAGGCTCCCACTGGCTGGCGCGCGCCATCAAAAAAAAAAAAAGGCTTTTATTGTTTTTTTTTTCTTCTTTTTTGTCGGTTTAGACAAAAAAATTACTTTGATTAAACTTTCAGAAATGAAATACAATAAACTCTTATAAAGTCGTTATGTTTCATCTTTTTACTTCGACCGCATCGGGGTTTAAGAAACGGCTGTTTAGGCTGCAAAACTGGCTTTTTGACAACTTTAGACTTTTTTTGTCTGTGAAGTATTTTGTTTTTCATCTTCAAACATTTTTTTTATTTGTAATACATCTGCAGGGCTTTCAACAAAAAGCTTTAATCGCCAGGCACGAAGCAATAACGAAATAAAAATATTGAGAAAGGTGTGCGTTTTGTTGAATATTTTGAAACATATTTTCATAATAAACATGGCATAATTATCACAGCATAGCAAACTAAAAGCTGTTCGAATTTCATAAAAAAATTGTGAAGCGTTAAAATAAAATCCGATCTTTACTCAATTGATTGATGCCTATTTTTACGCCCATTTTATATGTTCAAACCACGGTCACGCTGAAACAAAATTTGTTTTGGAGAAAATATTTTAGAAAAAAGTTAAGACCTTCGAATAAAACGCCATGTATTTTTTTTTTCTTTTTTTTAATTGAAAATGGTCTAGCGCAACGTCTGGGACGTTTGGGGTGGAATGACCTGGGGAGCCAACCAGCAGGCAGCGCTGGGAAAAGCGGAGCTTATGCTTTTGCATAAGCCGTCTCGGCCACGAGGCTTACTTGAAGAACTCGACCCGCTGGTTTTTGCTGGCCAGTTCAAAGACGTAGCCGAAGCCACCAATGCTGTAGGCCCCTTTGAAGGCCACGAGCAGCATGGACGAGAACATGAGGAAGATCTGGAACACGTCCGTCCACACCACCGCCTTGATGCCGCCCTGTAAAGGCCACGCGCTTTTAATCGATGCCCTAAAAGTTTCATTATCTATAATATAACGAGTATATGAGGTATTTGTCCAAATAAGATATTGTGGTTGTAATTGAATGTTTTTGTCATTATTGAGGGTTATACGGAAGGTTGACTTACGACGCTTGTGTAGAATGTGCACACGATGCCTATGGAGAGCACTGACGTCCACACACTGATTCCAGTCACTGAGTAGAAAGAAAGATAGGATGACACTGGTGAATTTCAGTTCGCTCACTTTGCTTCAGATCAAACTCGTAATCGTTTTACTTCAGGTCAAATAATCTTCATGTCTCGCTGTTTTCTAAAGCTTTTGCCGGAAATCGGAGTCCTCATATTCTCCTATTCTCGAAATGAATTACTGGCAGCGCTGTTAGTCGTGCATTCGGCGCACATCTTTTGTTGTCGTTGTTGTTGCTGTGATTTTATAGAGGTAGCGATCATTCTGAAATGGGGCCCCTGCTCCTATTGCCTGCCCCACCGAACCGGCGGAAAATTTACCCTCCGGCCAACAGAAAACCGGCCATGACATATAGAAACACTCAAATAAACGCTCTGCGCTCTACAAAGCCCACTGCGCCCACTTTCGCACACAGCACATGGGAGATCCAAATGCTGCAATCTATGGAGAGAACTCAGTGAGTGAAGAAACTCAGAACATGTTCACACCTAAAAAAAAAAAACAGTCTGCATTGTGATATTGAACATGACGTTTCACGTGCGTGTGCTATGGTCAGTGTGACACCCCAGACAGTTTTCTTTTCTTTGTTTGTTTTTTAGGTTTAAACATATTTTTAGCGTCGTCGTTCGCCGACTTTCCTTAGTAAAATTGCAGTGATTGACTCTCTTAAGTGCTTCGCGGAGAAGTGGACGCTTCAGATTTCTCGGAGTGTGGGCCAGGAAATCCCCTCCTCTCCGGGGCACCGAATAAGTGTTCCAGTGCAGATCGCGTTTCTCAACAAAAAGCCTTCTCCGAAGCGACGTACATTTCTAGGATGCCGGCGGTGTGCGACCTTGCGTATAGACAAGCGGGACGAGACGTCTGTACTGACAAAGCACCCTCGACAAAGGTGCCTCCATTCATTCGATGCGAACGTATCCTTTACCAAAGAAAATTATGCTGCGTTTGTCCTGCACGATGGACCGCAGCGGGGCCTACGAGCTATCGGAGCCAATCCAATGTCACGAGAGTGTCACGTGACCAAGAGCTTGGCGACGCGTGGAGTGCGTAGTCACGTAATGCGTTCACAGCGCTGGATCGGCAGGGATGACTCGCAGCGTCCACTGCGGTCCATCTTAGGGCGAAACGGTGTATAATGACGCGCGTGTCTGGCGACAATACAGTTCCAAAGGATCTGATTCCAAAAGCAGGAAGAGTCACGCTCCTTCCGGGAAAGTCTGGAGTCCAGTTTCGCTCGAGTGGTTCAACGAAGGACATCGGTCTGAATATCGTACACGAAAGCTCGTCAGAGAAAGATGTTGCGTCCGTCAGGGGAAGGGGTTCGTCCGGCACGGAAGGCCGAAACCGGAATCGGCTATTGTGAAGATGAAGGCAAACAGCAGGCATTGAACTATAGATGGTCAGACGAAACAGAAGGTTCGACGTCAAAGTCCTTCCTTTCGCTGCTCGAAGAAGCTACCCACTAAGAACTAAACACATGCCGAGAAACCCAAATTCAACCGACTACGTGGGATACCCAGAAATCCCGAGTTCAATCCACACCCCTGCCTGTTTCGACTTGGATGAGTATTGTACCCGCGTACTATCGTGCATCACTAGTGTGTGGTGCACGTTAAATACCCCAGGTTAGCAATGGTACTGCGCTAGCTAAATTTCTCACCCCCAGCGGAGACAGCAGACGACAACTTGTGTTCGGTAGCTTTTCGCTCTCAAAAAAAAAAAAAGCGCAGAATACAGTTTTCCCGTCTGGGTGTAGCCCCACCCCACAAGCGCAAAGGCTTCATGTCGTGCAATTCTGTGCATATCATGAAGGTAGACAACTCCAAGTTGACCGCCTAAAGAAGCAAGAAACCTACCTTATGCACACTCATGGAAATCCATGCTCCAAAATTTACTTCAAGATGAAATACACCCAATACGTCTAATATTCCACGTCGAAAAAGTGTGTCTTCCATGTCGAAAACATTCGTCGAAACATTTCACGTCGAAAAAGTGTGTCTTGATATTTTCAATGCCCATTGTGCATTACGATCTTATTAGTTTGATGAACTGATCGTTTTTGGAACCTGCTCATTGACACGATCTGCTTAAATTATACCAGCTATCACCAAAACAACTGGCAGTCATGTTACAAATATGTGAGCTATGATAGAGGGTGCCAGGGTTTTGATAGCGTTACCCCATTACATGATTTAGAACTATAACAATAATAGAAACTATAACCTAAAGTACATCACTCTGGTTTACCTGAAGGCGAGCGCACTCGGACCTCTATACACGTCGTTCAATTAAAGCCATGGACCCAAACATTTCCAAATGTGCCGCAATCAAGATGACTTTGGGTTTTACCCTGCTCTTTTTTTTTTTTTTTTTGTGTTTCAAAGAACTACTCGGACTTGGCGCTGCAAGCTTACCTTGGGAAAGTGCCAGCGCAGGAGCGTACAGGACGATGGCCATATAAATTAACTGAAAAACAAAAATAGTCGAAACCCGTTTATGCATGATGCATGACCTGACGAGCTCCACGTGTTCTGTCTCTGTATAAAAACACCACAATGTGAACAAGGGGGGGGGGGGGGGGGGGGGGAAGAGAGACTCTTGACGGTTTCTTTCAATAAAGTTAGGCTGAATAGCGAGGTATGACATTCAACTAAGGAGTGACAAAACAGGGGCTTATATTCCACGATGTTTCTCTAGCAGGTTCTTTAATTCTTTTAGTTAGCTAGCACGTTTGAATGTTTTAGCGATCAATTTTCTATATTATCTTCGTTTCTAGAAAGTGTGTAAGCGAACAGATATCGTAGTTTCAGTGGTGCACACGTACCATCTGAATTGAAAAGGTGAGGCACCCAATGGTACGAATGATGTGGTTGAATCGGAGTTCCAGGTACTGCAAAAGAGGGGAAGACAAACGAAAACTGTTAATTAGGTTTTCAAATATTGTCCGCAAACCACTTAGTAAGGTAAAACAAATAAAAAAGGCTAACTGTGTTACAGTAAAAATAGAGTAGTTTACTATAACAAAGGAGGGACATGGAAGGTAAACAGACGACACAGCCTGTGTTGTCTGTTTGTCTTCCATGTCCCTTTTTTTGATATCGTATATTAGAAACCAACACGCTCAACCATGTTTATGTCTTGGTCCCGCTTGATGCCGCCGTGTAGGCTAGGGCCCTGGTAAATGTACCCCCCCCCCCCCCCCCCCGGCATTGACGTTGCACTTTTGCATTACTTCAATATTGTTGCAAGAGTGGGCTCGATACTGGCCATGCATTGCGGCCAGAAACTGAGAAAGAGGAGGAGAAGAGATGCAAGGATTAGTGGCTAGACGCAAAGGTAGCTGTTTCTGTCTTCATTGCACTCGTCGAACGCGCGTTAGAGCGCGGTGCGCCGGCGTCTGGCGTTCGCCTTCCAACGCATTCGACCAGTGCAGTCGAGAAAAAGTGCCAACCCGCTAACCGTTCCAACTAGAGCTGGGCGTTCCGACGTCTCCGCGAGCGCTCGTCTCGAAAGCCATTCACCGCAACCTGAAAAAAACCATTCGCCGCAACCTACGAAGGAAGATCTGCGAATGACAAGGTTGAAAATGTCTGAAGACTTCGTTCGTCTGCTTCTTGAACAGGGTTTGCGATGATGTCCGAACGCCGAGCTCTTATTGGCTGATTGAAAAAAATAGTGGGTAGACCTCAAGGCATCTAGCATTGAGGTCTACCCAGTATCGTTTCAATCAGAGCCAATCAGAGCTCGCCGTCGTTCTGACGTCACCGCAACTCCTGGGCGAGAAGCAGACGACTTGCTCTCCGCATACGGCGAGCAAGTGTTCCAAAATGCGTCTTTCGCGCATCGGAACGCGATGACGATGTAGCCAAGCGCTCGTTGCCATTGGTTGAGGTCGGGGAAAAACAAAATCACATGGAGCGTTTGGGGAATAAAAACCGCACGAGGTGCACAAAGAGCAGACCAACTTGCAGGTGGTATAGGTGTGACGTAAACACATGAAATGTTATGCTCAGTGTCACAGCGCGGGCGTTTTAACGCGATAGCGTTTAGGAGCCAGTGTCGCAGAAAATCCGGCGTCGGTGTCGACGTCGGCGTCGGTTGGACCAAAAAATCCCATAACGCAATTCGCGCAGCCTCGTGTGACGACGCGTGGCTGTGACGTCATGACCCTGTCGACCCGCTAAATAAGGCGAGAAATTTATGGAAAATTTCCCACCAAATTTGACGGAAACTTTTCCCGACAAATATAGCGAAAACGTTTTGCCAAATTTAGCGGAAAATTTGCCTCTAAATTTAGCGGGTCGGTAGAGTTATGACGTCACAGTCACGTGTGACGTCACGCGTCACGGGACATAACATCACACGTGACGTCCTGTGACGTCACGTGATACGTGACACTACAGACTAGACCACGCAGACACACCTGCACGGCTTGTGGACGAGCGCGGGTTTATACGAGAAAAAGAAACTTTTTCTGGCCTATCAAACATATCTTTAGGCTCGTCATTCACTTCATACGTTTCAGCAGTCAAGCCGACTGCTGAAACCTAACAGCACTGATGGAAGTTAGGCTTACTGAGTTTCTCAGAGTGGATAGATCGCAACGATCGGTTCGTCACCAGCTTCGTGAAGAAACAGATGCAAGGATGTTCGTCAATACAAAACGCTCTAACAAAAAAAAAAAAAAAAAAAAAAAAAAAACGAAAAAAACACGCTTGTACGCATTTTTTTTTTTTTTTTTTTTGCACACCAGGCAGTCAGTTATTCGCTCAGCAAATGAGGAATCTTAAAAACGCAATGTGCGTAGGGACAATGAACGAGCAAAATGTCGTGCGTAATCTCCCAGCGCAACTTTTTTTTTTTTAATCTAATCATTCTCTGCACTTTTTCCGATACTGGCAATGATTGGCTGGCTACCTGCGTGCCTTGAAGAAAAGTGTTTATGTTCAAAGTGAAAAGCAAAATTGACAAGGCTTTAACGGTCGTTCAAAATGTACTGGTGCTCCCACTACCAGAAAAATAGAAATGACAGACAAATAGTAATGAATAAAAAACCTAAGCCGGATATACACTACCACACTGTCTACAAACAAGCCCGCCTTGCCCACATCAGGTGTCTTTGTCTGCGAATGCTTAGTGCCCACAGCAGCGCCACCGCAGTAACGTGACAATTGAGTTGGTCTACACGATACATAGCCACCAGCAATACAAAATGCTTATTCTCTCAATATAGCCTTGGAATGAGAAAGAAAGAAAAAGAAAAACTCCGTGCCTCTAAGTAGCATACAAAAGCACATACGCTCCCAAGTTTCCTCGCAGTTAACCTTCTCTTTCAAACGTTTTATCTTTCCTGGCAATCGACGGGTACTCTATGGAGCAAGACTATTTCTGGGCTTCGAAAGCTCAGAAATATCTCATATTTGTTGGAATTTTTCTCTATACTTTTAATAGATACATAAGAAAGCTGGAAGGCAAACATCCACTGGCTCAAAGCCAACACGTGCCTCTTATTTTGTTTGTGTTGTTTTTAGCCTGTCACCGCCCACCGCATGAACAACTGAAAGGGTCAAGCTTACCTAGTTTTATTACTGGAACGCTCTGACAAACGGTAGATGCTGTAATTTTTCTGTGTTAAATACCAGATAAAAAAAAAATACACGACGTCTTTCTGACGTCATTGCAACCCCTGCAAAATCGGCAGACAAACTTGCGCTCCGTATAGGCTCGCTACCAAACCGGGAAATATGTAATGATTTTTTTGAAGTACCTTGTGCCTTTGTGGGGTCATGTTAACCTTCGAGAAAGAGGTGAGACGACTTCAAATTTAAAAATGCGCGATCTGAACTACGTCTCTTAAGTTGGAAGCGGGACACGAGGAAGAATTGGCGGCTTTGTCTCGAACTTGACTGCCATAAAGAAAGAGTCTAACATCAGCTGCCCCCGTATTTAACGGGAGTGATATTCCTGTTGGTCTTACCACAAATCCAACTGATCCCACCATTGTTAAAAGGAACCGGAAACGACGACCGAAGAAGTGGACAAACACAAAAACGTCGAGACGTTTTGTGTTTGTCCCCTTCGTACGTCGTCTTCGTTATTATTTGTTGTTTTTTGTTTGAAAATATGTAACATCAACCAGCTCGCATGTTTAATTACTCTTTCTTCTTGAGCACACCAACCGGACATGACGTTTTTCTTCCTAACGTAAAATGATGTGTCTGACCATACATAACTAACTACATATCAACAGCCTCTCAATATCTTGCGCTCCTACGCAGTAACATCGCTGTTGCCCGCCAGCGTCCTCATGTGCTTCTTGCATTCCCGGCGTTGTGTTCTCCATTGTTTGTGCGTAAGCTCTCTTTGTTCGTTAAATCACAGAAAAAACAAACGTATATCAGTTTAAGTTTACACAATATTATCTTCCCCCTCCCCCCTCCCTAGAAAAATTAATTTGTCTCGATCATTTTGATTTTCCTGGAAAGTGCAGAATGTGTTGGCTGCATTATTTGTAAGTTATGATTTATGTTGGTTACTAGAAAATTTCAGTGGTTTCAGATGCGTTGCACCCACGATGGTCTCATGTGCTTTCGGAGTTTATCACAATGATCAAAACAAGTATAAATACATTCAGAAAGAGTCTGTTTGGAGATTATGTTTTAATTATAAGTTTTCATGGGGTCTGTCTCTTCAGAGGGTGCAAGCAATACCTTGAGGAGATGGGGATTATCGGCCCCGCTAAAACATCTATTCGCTTACATACGTCCGCTGCGCAATTTGTTGGTGTGCTATGAACTTCAGGTTTCGTGTTTTGGGGGTTCATTTTTCTGGAATTCGAAGTGTTTTTTCCGGGGTTTAGTTTTTCAAACAAAAAGGTATTCTCGGTGTACATTTTTTTAGTGCCGTAAAAGAAATCAGTGTTTATTTGACCCTCTGTTGAGGAAACAAGACACGGGCATGAAATTCTCGTGACTCAAGAGAACATGCTCGCACCCAGAATACCTAAAGAACGCACCGGTACCAATAAAAAAAAATAAGGGGTTTGGTTTTCGAACAAAGACGTAGCCTCGCGGGCAGTTCAGTGTCAGTGTGTTTAAGGCAAACACACAATAAAATTGTAGTTAGAGTTTTTTTGTTTTGTTTTTTTCGCCCTTGTAGTTAGGGTGCTCTTTGGTGAAGGCAAATTCAAATTCGAGGTTTGTCGGTTTTTTCAGATTTTGATAAAACCGGCTCGGGAGTTAATTTTCGGGGTTTATTGGTTTCAGGTGACTTGCGATTGGCAAATGAGCGCCCGTCGTCACCGCGCTGGGGTATGCCCCGCTTTTCCTTAGCGGAAAAATCCGCTCAGAAAGGGGTGTGTCCCGACCTTGCATCACGTTTTTAAAAGGAAAATCGGCGTCGCGTCATTGTAATCTTTGGATTTTTAGGATGCTTAGGTGCGTAGAATCGGTTATGACCAAAAACAGAAGATTGCAGAATCGTCTTTAGTGTCCCTTGAACTATGACTATATATGCCCTCTACGTGCTTTAAATGCTTATACATTCCCAGTTATGGGCTTTGAATGCTTTATGTTGCTTAGACCTGAGCGTAACCGATTTTCGTAACGCTAGAGTGTAACGGTTTTTGGGTGAAACTTATCCCTTTAACGCATTTCGTGTTAAAAAAAATAAAGAAAAGCTTGATTATTTTTTTATTTTGTTTTATCAAGTACTACCTCTTCATCTTAAAACTTCGTTATTCCGTTCGTGTTTTTTTTTTTTTTTATCCTCTTTTATGCACGTGACACCGGCTCGTCCCGCCCACGAGAGTCACGTGCATATGACACACTATTCCAAAAGCAGGATGAAAAAAAAAAACATATCCTGCTGATAAAACCTCGGTTCAGTCGG